CAGGTGTCCGGAGATAGGGGCTAGCTCTGTCGATTGGGTTCAACTGAGAAGGTTTTATCTGCAAATGGAAATAGGATCCAGTTTCAGAAAAGTTGTGTTTTAAATAAAAAGGGACGATGGATAATGTCCAGAAATATAATATTTTTATTAATGTACCATCGTCACAAGCTTCCAGATCTTATGCTATCTTCTCAGATGTGACGCCTTGTAGGCTAGAAGAAGTGACTCCATTTGATGCTTACGTTTTCCTTGCAGGAACTAGTCTTCAATTCTGAAGATGCAAGCAGCACTTTCCTCAGAAACGCCAGCAAATATCAATGAAATTAAAAGTTGTCGGTCTCAGGATATATCACTTTTCGATTCTGTACTGCTCAGTTTGTTTTTCTTTTCCTTGGCACTACAGCCCCAGTGGGCCTAGACCTACCTTCCTGAACTTCTCCGTTCACTTCGGTTCTTCTAGATCTTACACATTCGGTAGGACTCCTTGGGCGGGTGATCAGCCCGTCGCAAGGCCTCTACCTGTACACAAACACAGAAAAACACAAACACACAAACTAAACATCCATGCCCTGAGTGGGATTCGAACCCAGGATCCCGGTTTCCAAGCGAGCGAAGACAGTACATGCCTTAGACCGCTAGGCTACCGTGACCGGCGCTCAGGTTGTTACCTATTTAAATTTCGTGACGATGTTGTATTAAAGCAATTATTGACTTTTAAGGTATGAACCATCTTCCTTCTTTAAATAGAAACAGGACGATGGATGATATTAAAAAGTCAATAATTGCTTAGCTATTGCCGTAAATACTTGACGTAATATGTATGTGTTCTCTATTTTCTGCTCAGAGCGTATTATATTTGTATTCTCTATTATAGCGCGTGACGTTGAGATATGCCTGGCTTATTTTCGGATGGAAAAGGATGAAACATTCACGATGAACACAGGATTTACCACAGTGAATGGAAACATGGCCTATTATTTGTTACTGAGGAATTTAATATCCCATAACATGTTTGTTATTATGTGACATAGTAAAATGTAAGAGATTACACAGTCATTAGACTTATTTACGTTCAGACACACATATATATAGATCCTACACATCTGGGTCATCAAAACCCTTCATCATAGGCCAAAATCTTGCCATGATCAGAAAGGTCCTGTCCATCAGCACCGAAATTCAATTAATTTTTGAGTGTATTATACTCGTAGTTCATGTAATCTATAATATTATGACGTGTATCAATGACTAAAGACGAGATTCGGATTGGTAATTGATTTATTGACCACTCACAGGTCACAACTGCAATTAATTATAGCACTGTTACTGATTTTTACACTACAAAGCACTCCACGTCGCTCTCTTCAGTCCATTTCCACTAGTCTTCACGGATTTATATAACACAGGAAGTATAACAGTCTCACTAAATCACACACTTCCAATATCACTGTACCACAGTCTTAAAATTACACGTTAAATCCACAGGCTGACTTCTTGTACTCTTCTGCACTCCTCAAGCTTACTGCTTGCCTGCTTGTTCGCGTGCTTCTGCCTCTATTATTCGTAACTGCCTTGAACGAATTTTGTCACCCTTACTTATATAGCCGCGGAATGGACATGGATCTACAGTAAACACATATCACGTGATCACTATTCAGTCAGTCTGTTGGTGAGTCGGTCGTATCTACAGAAAACACAGCTTCCTATATTGCTGCATGTTGGACATATTTACCGAGCTGTTGCCTGACAACGCGTTGATCAACTCCTTTCAAATATGTTTGTTGTTCCTTTTAAGCGAAATGAAGTTCCAACAAGCAATAGCGCATTCATTACAGTCACAAAGTACATCATTCGCAGTTATTAAAATTTAGATACTGTTACCTGCAACTTACTTTAGGGCAGTTGAATTCGCTTGAAATCCTTCAACGTGATATTACTGGCATATCATTTATAGCCTGCGATATAAATGACCCTTCATAACCAACACGTATACGCATGCTTACATCCTACTATTTAATGATTGACAAACGAAGGTAATGAGTCTTAATTGAAATTATCATATGTCGAAGTAAGAATTTCCTTTTTCCTCCGTGTATGATAATTTGTCAAGTCCACCAGACTAATTTGAAAACAACATTAACACTCCTTGCGTCACAGCGACATGGTACACAATTCTGATATGTTAAATAAGCCGTAGTGGGCAGGTAACAAGGTGCGGCCTTCAAGTGTTAGGTTTGGTCGTGGAAGCAGGCACCAGTCAAGGTTACGTCTACTTTCTTTTGGTATATTTCATTCTAAGAACTGTTGAGGCTATTAGGCATTACATAAGCATATTTATATATGAAAATCTTATGCATTGTATTTATAGAACGGATAGTTAAAGAAGAAAATTAATAGAAAGAACGACTTATAGGCTCGCTCATTCCAGTCAGGGTATAGGCTTTCATTTACAAATATTTTACCGTCCGTACCTCAGCTTGTTTGCTAGCCTTCTCGTACACGCTTTATGTAAACTTTGGTGCAGACGGAATTTATTACTTCAGACGTTCAGCCATCTTTCCTGATAATATATACAATATCCAACATCTGCTAAAATTCTGAAATAAGACAGTCGTATGTATGATAACTGAAATTATTTCCTCAACTTGCGCTCGTAAGTTCATAGCTCCAAAACAGGAGTAAATAATTATTAAAACTGGCAAATATATATTAATTATCTCTATATTATTTAAATATGGGGAACTGAAATAGTTGTAAATCAGCAGATTGTTACTGAGCGTAAATTTATGAGTCCTATCTATAGACCTAATTTCAGAAGCCGAATTGCAACGTTGAAAAGCCTGGGATATTTGACAATGGCTGGTGAGAGACCGGGGCAGATATTTCTTTCCATATCTATGAAACGACAGATGAATAATCTGAAAGAACATTGCCGTCTTCTGGAATGTGGTGCCTTGTAGGTTCTGCGTGAACTGACGTTTCGGAGGGATATATTGCCTCCAACTTATGGGTAGAAAGATCCGCGAACGAGGAAAAAGCGCGAGAAGGTGACTGCAGACTGCAGCCACCTCTTCAAGTTGGTTGTCGCTCGCGGATTTTTCTATTCAGAAGTTGGAGGCAATACATTCCTCCGAAACGTCAGTTCACGCGGGACCTACAAGGCGCCACATTCCAGAAGACGACATTCATCATAGTCACCGCCGTGAAAACTTCAAATCTTACGTAATAATCTCAAAGATATGTAAGGATTTTACGGACGTTTTCCAATATACTCGCAACAGCTTTACAATGGTCTACGTTTAATTCTGGAGACACTTCAAATTGATTCAAGCGAAGGTAGAAGGGGGGAAATTTCTTGGTAATTGAACCAATTAAATGGCCCGTTTCATTTCTTGAATTTCACCTAGTATGCAAGATAATTTCGAACACTGGAATAGAAGGAAGATAATTTGGCCTGGGCCATAATGTTGTAAGTTTATCTGCTGAAAGTTTGAAATTTGAGTTTTCTCTGCGGTGAAGATTAATATTATGGTCTTGGGTTATGATACCAATATTACACTACAAAATGAATGCCAAAGAATTCTTTCTCCCTCACATCTGCGTGGATTTTATTGTATTTTTTAATTAAAATTTTACCAGGGAGAAATAAAGGGATGTTATGCGAAGATTCTTACTTAAGGTCTCTCACGAGAACCGCGTTGCCGCGACATAATGTTCTCTGTAAAACCGTAAGTTATAAACGGAGCCGGTGCCGGGTACGGTTTAATCCTTGGAGTGAAGAAGACTGCAAGTTTCGTAAGGCTAAATCCTAATGCAGCATGATTTTAGTGTAAAATTATACTACGCTACGATTTGTTCAGACTGCATTTGCAAAACATTCTTTTCTGAGTGGTGAATTCCTTACTTTTTCACTTCTGTTTCAACACAGCATCCATTCAATTATGTTATACATATTAACAAAAAGTCACTCTTTGCGTTTATATGTATTAGTGTTCAATATTTCTATTTCTGTTGAATTCTTAGTTAGAAGTAACATAAAGCTGTGTTTGAGGTCGTTTGCATGTTATATTCTCAATCATTCCACAAATTTTTCGTCAAGAAACTTCACCTGGCCGCTCTGATCTGGAGTCATCTTCAACTGATTCCCTGTTCCATTTAATCTCTGCAGTCTGTGTCTGTCAGATCACATGTGAAGAAATTCGCCATATGTAAATAGTATAAAACATATTATAAAATATTAAATATCTAGAGTGGTTAGGATTGGTTTTGCGGAGGGTCGATGGATAAATTAATTCTTCTTAACTTGATGGTTTTGTGTTTTACTCATCTGACCTTTATACATTGTTATTTCTCTTTACTAACACCAAGTATAATTAGAATGACGAAGTCAAGGAGGATGAGATAGGCAGTGCATATAGCACGAATGGGGAGGAAGAGAAGGAATGCAAATAGGATATTGTTGGGAAAGCCTGAAGGACAGAGAGCACTGGAAGACAAAGACGTAAGTCAGTGGACAGTATTAAAATGGATCTTAGAGGGATAGGATGGGATAATATGGACTGAATCAATCTGGCTCAGGTTAGGGTCCAGTGGAGGACTCTTGTGAACAGGATAATGAACCTTCGGGATCCAAAGAAAACAGAGAAATTCTTGAGTAGCTGCGGAATTAGCGGTTCCTCCAGAAGGGCTCAGCTCCATGAGTGAGTGAGAGTAGACATAAGAGTAAATTTATGGTAGAGTGGACAACGTTGAACGAGCCACGAAAAGCGGATTTCATTTTTACACGTTTAAGTATAAAATGCCGTAGATTTCCAAGAACGAATACGCTTTTGAAGGTCAATGGTGCATGGTCAAGTGCCAATATACAAGTGACAGTACAAGCGATCGGTGTTGGTACTAGTGTTCTCATAAATGCTGGCGACAGTTCGAATTATCAATTAATAACGCAACAGAAATCAAAAGTTTTGGGGTTATTAGTTATTCTAATAATTGTAATATACCTTAAGGTTACAGTATATCGCCCATGCGTGCTTACGTACTTTCGTCTGCTGATAACAGGATCCCACGTTAAGTTATCCAGCTGTCACTCAGTACAACACCACATACCTTCCTGTTACCACGCGGTCTCACGACTGAGCGAGTTCTTTCGGATGCACGTACACACCTGGACACAGAAGTTTCTCGCTCCACCAATCACTGTAGGAGGCGACTTAGGTGGGAGAGATTCTGAACCCTGGACTTACTTTCTCTGTTATTTAATGGCATTACACCAATTACAGGGATTATGCAACGTCGAATGAAGTGTAAGGAAGAAGGTGAATTGTAAGGTGGATGGGATTACAACCATGACATAAGCAGCGGCCTTCGGAATTCGTTAATAAGTGACACAATTGTTTCTTTATTCGAACACTAACATATCTGAAACCAGATTATGTTAATGGGCCTTGCTTAAATCCAAATGTATTCGAGTCAATTCTTCTGACAGTATCCCAAGAAACCTTCGGCCATTCGAGAGATAGGGACTTGGACTACTAACGTCATTTAGCACTGCTTCCCTCTGAAATCGCGGCAAAATCGACCAGTCGGTACGCCAACAAATCAAAAACAAAACACAATCATATGACACCAAATGCCGGAAATGGTCCTCGAGGTTATGAGGTATTCCTTGCATCTTTATAAAATATTTACATTCTTGCAGTGAAATCATTTTTATAGTTTTATGATGTGTGACATGTGTTAAAGATAATTGAAACTGTAAAACAGTAACACTGTTCCATCTTCAGCTTGGTGAACAACTTAACCTGATTTTAAACAAACACAAATGTCGAATTGCCGAGAATAATATGTATGCATAACATAAGACTTAGGAAAAATCAGGAAAACAAACAATATTACATTATATTTAGTTAAAACTTGGCACTCTTAACTATGAATTAAATGAAACAGTAATGATATACATGATACGTATTATAAGGAGAAGAACCCACGACGCCTGCTTTCACCTCGACATTTCCTTCTACATAGAGTGGCTAACGTAGATCATAATTTACTGATTGTGCTTATCTGTAATGCACCTGGTATATATGTATATAATCTGTACTTAAAGTATATCCTGGATTTTCTATAGAGAAATGTGTTCACTCTCTCTCTAGGCTATCTTAGGTTCTAGAAGCGAGAGTATAGTGATTTTTACCCACGATCACACCATGTAATCGATATTATCTTACTGAACGGATATCTTTGGCACATACATGTACGATCCTGTCTTTCCCTACATCAGGGTCTGTGCTCTAAATCTGGTCTTCCATTTCCAATGTTAGTGACTTTTATATAAATATTTGTCTTGTGGTCTTTTTCGTGCTTTTCTTTTTCAGATTTCGCAGGTTTCAGTTAACCCTATACCTACAAACCTTTAAGGTGTAAAATCCGATGAACTTGATGCTGTTCGTTTTTATGGGAAGTATTCACAAAGGCGTGTATATGAACACAGGACAAGTGGACAAAAGTGAAAAACTAGACATAAAAATTGAGACAGTAGTCGAATCCTAGGTCTCAAATCTCATCTTTACAGGATAATCATAACTCGATATTTTCTTTCAGACAGTAGTCGAATCCTAGGCCTCAGATCTCATCTTTACAGGATAATCATAACTCGATATTTTCTTTAAATACAAAAGTAATTCCGCATGCTTGTAAATTTGTGATCTGGAAGTCTTTGGCATTCAGGGAATAGCAAACGTGCAGTTGGACATTTATGTGGGTAGATATTATGTGTGGCTAAAGTAGTNCATCTTTACAGGATAATCATAACTCGATATTTTCTTTCAGACAGTAGTCGAATCCTAGGCCTCAAATCTCATCTTTACAGGATAATCATAACTCGATATTTTCTTTCAGACAGTAGTCGAATCCTAGGCCTCAAATCTCATCTTTACAGGATAATCATAACTCGATATTTTCTTTCAGACAGTAGTCGAATCCTAGGCCTCAGATCTCATCTTTACAGGATAATCATAACTCGATATTTTCTTTAAATACAAAAGTAATTCCGCATGCTTGTAAATTTGTGATCTGGAAGTCTTTGGCATTCAGGGAATAGCAAACGTGCAGTTGGACATTTATGTGGGTAGATATTATGTGTGGCTAAAGTAGTTAACGCCGGTTACGGTAGCCGAGCGGTCTAAGGCATGTACTGTCTTAGCTCGCTTGGAAACCGGGACCGTGGGTTCGAATCCCACTCAGGGCATGGATGTTTGTGTGCGTTTTTCTGTGTTTGTGTACAGGTAGAGGCCTTGCGACGAGCTGATCACAAGCCCAAGAAGTCCTACCGAATGTGTAAGATCTAGAAAAACCGAAGTGAACGGAAAAGTTCATGGAGGTAGGCCTAGGCCCACTGGGGCTGTAGTGCCAAGGAAAAAGAAAAGTAGTTAATGTTGACTCTTCGCAAGTAATTAATATTCGGAAGCCTACGGGCTAGGAACCCGGATCGAAGAAATTCACTTATCGATCATGTTCCAGTCACGTATCCGGTCTAGAAACCGAGATTAACAGCCGTGGGGATCCTTTGCGCTGACCACGCGACACCCTCTATCCGCTAAAGTTGGCCCTAACTTCGCAGACAAGCGGTGGTCGCTCGGTCGGTATAGTTCGCTTGCGGAATAAAGGCCACGGAGTTTGTTCTAGTCACGTACTTGAGAGATACCCGGCCTTCTGATTGAGGTCGCTCTTTTCTTTCGCCAGTCTTTCCAAAAGGAATTTCAGGATAACACTCTCAAGAATGCGTCCCAAACCGTTACTTCCTTATCATCCAGGATCATACATTCTTATATTCCTCGTCTGCGAGCTCTGCAGTTGAATTCGCGTGACCGAGTCAGTTTGCTGAAGCAGTAACATTTCTTACCTCTGTTCTACAGTAGCCCGGTTCGAATCTTAGGCGGAACATAAATTAATCTGACCGAAGTTTTCGTGATCTTTTTCAGTACCTCAAGACATATGCCATGAACAGTCCCTGAATTTAGGCAGCTACCGCTTCCTTTCACATCCTTTCTAATCGTTTTTCCTCTAACCATCCTAATAGTCAACGTTATGCTCTCTGAGCTTGAAACAGGTTAAATAAGTTAATAATAAATAAACAAACAGAAACATCATTGTTAAATCATCCGAAAAGTCCCCGAATATTTCTGGAGCGGCGTTCCGTAATTTTGAGTAGCTAGGCTTGATCATTTCTTATTTACAAGCGAACATTATATCCAGAAATTTATCCGTTCTTTCTTGGTCTAATGACCTCTGTAAATAAGATTGCTGTGTAGCGTTAAATAGTGAAATATTTCTGAAAGATAAACTGAGAAATATATGGAAAGAAGCAGGTGCCTGGAGCGAAACCTTAATCAAAATAACAGGTCTTCTAACCGAGTTTCGAACACGGAACCTATCAAATATCAAGCATAAACACTAACACCTACATAGTGACTCGCTTAACTCTTAAATATATATACTTGAAATGACATATTCAGATTTGTGTATCAAGGTTTGTTTTATCCGTACTGATATCCAAGAAGATGTGACAGCTCCATTCATACCTTCTGATAGCAGTTCAATATGCCTAGGCTAGGAATACACACAGCGACATCGGTCGTACAGAACAATGTCGTACGATTTTTTTTTTTTGCGGTACGACCTCCTTTTCACACTAGAGCGACCAAATATATTTCTTTGCTCTCCGACTGTCATTCGGTAGATGTCGCATGCGACATGAACCGTAAGGACGTCGTACGACCGATGTCGCTTTGTTTGTTCCAGCCTATACCTGGCCTCCTGCTGTAGGGTCATTGCACGTGTTGCTTATGAAGCGACGAATAGGAGTTGGCCTAGTAGGATCCAAAGCGATTACAATTCGGTCTTACTTTCAAATCCATACCAGTCTGTGTACATGTTCCGCAGTTAGCGGTACTCCTGCCCGTCCACCGTTATGCAACAGTGCTGAGCATCGTAAGTTACTGGCAGTTTAATTATTATAATGATTCAGGTCTCGCTTGAGCCGGTATATACCATATGATGACAAGAGTGTTCGATGGTGTAGAGTGCATCGATAAATAGAAGGTAGCTTTGAATTGGGCCCACTCGATTAATATAAGAATTACGATGAGTAATTACGAGATATGCCAATTTTTTGCACTTCCTTATCATATAATTTAATAACTTCTTAAATGGTCAGAGAGTCCCGCAGAAATAGAATTTCCAGCGAAGTATAAGAAATTAATTCGAGTAATTGAACGTTTCCCTATTTCCTGAAATTTAACAAAGGTAAACATAACAGCCCTTCTCGACTTTCGAAAAAAGGGCAGTCCTAACTGTCCAATAAACCATTATTATTTAATTATTTCATGGTTGAGGTACTATGCTACAAGCAGGAAGGTCGCGGGTTCAAGTCCCGTATATGTCTTTTTTTTTTTCCAATTTACCTAATCCTTCAAGCCGCATTATGGCGCTGGGGTCGACTCAGCCTCTTAACAGAAATAAGTACCAGTAATATTCTTGAGGGTAAAGGGCGGCCGGCGCGTAGGGTTGACAACCTTGCCGCCATCTTTGAGCCGATTGTCTAGAAAATGTGGGCACCTCAACATCTCGCAATCCAATGGGCCTCCACGTCCTGTTACAGGGATAATTTTACTTTTATTTTACTTCAGATCGGTAAACATAAGAGTAGTTTAAAATTTTTGAGTGACGTGTAGGACCTATTGGACTCATCCTTTAAATCCAGTGGTTAATACGCGTACCACTTGCTACAACATAGTACTGTATTCTGCCCTCACAGTGTATTTGTATATTTAGTGTGGTTCTCACAATAAACAACGATTATTTCCTTAAAGAGTATTAACCAGTTTGTCTTTGTGGCGGACACGTAGTGTTTCTTATGAGGTACAAAACAAATTCTTATATACTATTTAGAGAGTATTCAATCTTTGGAGCGTTAAAATTGTTAAAAAACCACAAATTAGAGTCCTACTTTAACAAGAGTCCCCAGTATATTTTACACGAATATTTCTGACACGCTAAAAGAGAAGTGGTTAAGCAAACTTTCATAAAACTACACGTATATGGGATAAATCCGCCATTTACTTTATGCCAGCAGTTTGTTTGTTGGTGATAGGATGTCAGACGTAATAGTAAGAGGTTACTGCTGTAATACCATTGTTCTGAATATTCCAGCTTAAAACAGGATAAAATTTGTGTTAGGCAGTACAGCTGCTACGAGGAACTAGAACGTTTATTCGATAAACACCCTGATACCATATGAATATATTGTTCGGAGATTTCAATTCCAAAGGAAGCAGGGAAGACATTCGACAATTGGAAATGCAACATTACACGACATTAGTAATCATAATGGAATTAGGGTAGCCGGTCACGGTAGCCGAGCGGTCTAAGGCATGCACTGTCTTCGCTCGCTCGGAAGCCGGGCTCGTGGGTTCGAATCCCACTCAGGACATGGATGTTTGTGTGCGTTTTTCTGTGTTTGTCTACAGGTAGAGGCCTTGCGACGAGCTGATCACTACCGTATGTAGTCCTACCGTATGTGTAAGAACTAGAAAAACCGAAGTGAACGGAGTTCATGGAGGTAGGCCTAGGCCCACTGGGGCTGTAGTGCCAAGGAAAAAAAATGGAATTAGGGTAGTAACTTGGACACACACAAAAATCTGATTGTCAAAAGCATAATATTCCCACGTCGTAACATTCATAAATTTAATTGGGCATCTGATGGAAAGACCTACAGTAAAATTGACCATACCTTGATACATTCATCCCAGAACTTTTTGTCTTCTCGTCTGCAGTCTAAAACATAAAAATTAGAATATAAAAACTATAATTTTGCCTGTGGTTCTGTATATGTGTGATACCTGGTCTCTCACATTAATGGAGGAACATAGTTAGAGGGTGTTTGTGAACAAGGTGTCTAGGAGAATGCTACAATATAGACCAACGAGAGATGAAGTGACGGGAGGTTGGAGAAAACTGCATAGGAGAAGCTTCATAACTTGTACTCTGTCAGGTTAAATTAGAATGACGAAATCAAGGAAGATGAGATGGACAGGGAATGTAGCATAAATGGGGTGAAGGGGAATGCATGTAAGATATTGGCGGGAAACCCCGAAGGAAATAGTCCACTAGGTAGAGCAAGACGTAGGTGGATGGATAAGTTTAAGATGGATCTTAGAGAGATAGAATTGGGTGGTATGGACTGGACTGGGACCAGTGGAAGGCTCTTGTGAACACGGTAATGGACTTTCAGGTTCCATAAATTGCTGGGAAATTCTTGAATAGCTGCACAACTGGCGGCTTCTCAAGAAAGACCCAGTTCCAGTTACTCATGACTGATCTTCCCTGTATAATGAAAGTCTGTTGATGCTGATGCCGAGTGCTCGAATGTTGCTGTATCATGAGCCATAGATTGATCTGCTCCTTCTGGGTACATTAAGAAAGATACATAGTCTCCCTGATTTTACGTCAAATTAAAATTTTATGTTAAAAAGAAAAATAATTTTTGTAATCGTTTGAATAAATTTAGACTGAGTTTTATGTTAGGTTTTTCTTTTTACTACACACTTTCTAAAAAGCCATAAAGTCTGGCAGATTTCATTTGGTCTAATTCGTCGACGACAGTTTAAAATCTCACTCCAAGTAAATTTGGAAAACTGAATTCAAATTTATGAAACGGATACTGGTTTAATATGGTTTGATAGAAATGGGACTTTGTAAGAGAAATCCTGTGATATTGCTAAGAATTTTTAAAAATCTTTTCAGTCTNACTATAAATGCCTCTGATGATGGCTCCGTGGTGAGCCGAAACATGTAAGGCAGGTGGTGACGAGGTGGAAAACTTAAAAAGTGTCACATTTGACGGAAGGAACTTGATTGTTAATTAAAATTTTACCTTTAGATGGAAAAGGTCCAAAGCCATTAATTCTACTGTTACTTTCCTTCAGTTTGTTACCTATTTAATTGTTCACCAGGTCAAACTGATTTTAAATAGTTTTCCGCAGTATTCCGCTCTGTCTGCTTCTCCATAACCGTAATTATGTATTACCTTCCAGTTATGTAAACTTGTGTAACAGTTACCTAACAGACACACTGTCTGATGTACGTTATTCTGACGCACTATCGTGTCCTTTTATTTTATTTTCAGTCATACTTCAAGGATCAGTCCATTACTCCTTTAATGTTTTTTGTAATGTTATTAATAACTCTGTTCTTTCTTCTGATGTCCTTGAGGCCTATGAAGCTATTAATTCTCCTAGTGTTTGTTTGTCTTTGCAGTCGGATATTCATTATGTACGCGATTTTTTTCCGACTAATTTTATGACGATTAATTTTGGTAAAATTAAGGATTATTTTTACCGAGTAAACGAACATGCCAAAATACTAATAAACGTTTAAATTTTTTCCTGTATTGCGCAGCGATTTTAATAAGGTTTTGCTGAACAAAGTTTCATCTTTACGCCGATTTTCTTTTTCATAAGCAACAAAATGTCTAGAATTATTTCGAAAGTCACTTTTCCGCTTTACGTTATAGACGGCTTGCTGATGCCCTGTTTCGCTTGATCATACCTGAGCTTGAGTATGCTTCTGTCGCTCGGGACCCTCGGGACGCCCAGGACTATTACGATTACTGTTGTCAGTAAACCTCGGGCATACAAAGAGAATTTTGCAGCTCTTTGTCACAATAAATTTTCCTAATCATTATAACTTAACTAGCAGAATTAGATTTGGAGACTCCGTATATTACGCGTGACTGACGTATTTTATTTTAATCGTTTCTTGCATTCTGCTGTGTGTTTAGTTAATAGTAGAGTGAATTTACCCACTACACAACACGTTTTTTATTATCACTACATGTTTCGACCACAAGAGGTCATCCTCACGTGTATGAACACGGCTGTATCCATCACGACAACGATCATAACAGATCCAGCAGCATCAGAGAACGCGGAAGAACAGCGAGACCTCACAAACAAGTGAAAGTGCAACCAATAACATAAGTTGAACTTTAATTAACGAACTTTTAACCAATAATAATAATAATTAAACTGGTTAAAAAAGAACTAGACACAGTTGTGAGCGTAAGTAAAATGAGACTGTAAAACAGGTGAAAGTGTAAACAGTGACATGAATTGATCTTCGATTCACGAACTTTTAACTCTTAACAATTAAATTAGAATAATAATTTTAACCTGTGTTTTATAAAAAGAACTCGATATATTAGTGAGCGTAAATCTGGATAAGATACAGGGTCGAATGAGTGAAAAGTGAATGTGACCGCGTGTAATTATACAGCCGTGTTCATACACGTGAGGATGACCTCTTGAGGTCGAAACATGTAGTGATAATAAAAAACGTGTTGTGTAGTCGGTAAATTCACTCTACTATTGGGATATTTCATATTGAAGTAACATTTATGATGATGCTAAAACTGATCCTCTGTTGATATTAATGTTCCTGTTTGGAACATATGTAATTTTTCCATATTCATTTGCACTTCATGCTTCCGTTCTTCAGCTGTATGTGTTTCTGCTGCAAATGTAATATGAAAATAGATATTTTAGAAAAGTATGTTTAAATTTAAACAACTTTAATAGGTTCAGCTTTTTAAATTCTTTATTCTTTTTGTTGTTTTTTTGTTTGTTTTACTGCCTCTGAAATGTATACTGGTTTACTCTGCATAGGAATATGACTTCATGTATTCAGTGATTTTATTTGTCCATATTAGGAAACGAAACCAGTAGCTTGTGCAGGGCTGCAATATTTTCTCAAAGCAGGTTTTATGTTTCAAATTTACCACTGGGTGCATTTTTCGGATATGTTTCAAAATTTTAGGACTTATATTTAACATGCTACTATATGCGGTAGGTTTCTGTGTAGTGCAGGATGAGGCAGTCGGTGGCTCCCATAATCTTCAATTTCCTATGAGGCCTTCGTGTTTGCCAACTTCTGTGTTTTTCAGGAACATAAAATCGCAGTTTCCAAAGCATTGCGTTAACCACTTTGCGCGTTTTGGTCACTCTCGAGGTTATGACATATTCATAACAAGTTTAGAATACACATTTAAACATTTCATACACGAGTGGATTCACACTCATTCACCAAACAATTCCAAATAGTTTAAACCAACGTCTGCCTGCCAGAAACTGATGCCAGCTGTTTTATGGGACAGGAATTCATGCAGCAAGGGACCACAATGACGTCAGAAGCATACTACGAAACACTAAAAAAAAACTGAGTAGGACCGGCCATTCAGAACAAAATGCGTGGAATGCTGACATACGGTGTAGTGTTACTCCATGACAATGCTCGTCTGCATACAGCTGCTCACACTCGAGCACTGCTGGAGCATGTCAACTGGAGTTGTTTGAATACCTTTCTTACAACCCTTATCTCGCTCCGAGCGACTACGACCTGTTTACCTACCTGAAAAGCTGGCTGCGATCACAGCGCTTCAACATCAATGAGAAGTCGTTGGAAGGTGTCAAATTGTGGCTAAACTCACAGGCGGCAGACTTCTTTGACACAGGAATACACAAACTTGTTCTCCTATATGACAAATCTCACAATTTCAGCAGTGACTATGTTGAGAAGTAGCTTAAATATGTACGCATTTTTTTCTACACAATTAATTTTTTCTCATTGCTTATTTTGTTAACAGCTCACCGGGCATTTCTATCCGAGTAGCCCCCTATACTTGCATGTCATAAAACTGAATGTAAAATTAAAGTTGTCTCTGTGCTTAATTAATTAAGCATCTTAACATGAATAGGCAAGAGAGAGTGAATATATAGCTCCTCCATTCTTCGACTCGGTAACAGATGAGGATGAGTGGTGAGCTTCACGCCCAGGCTGCTTTACCTCCGAGAAAAGTGGCACCGGCACCCATTCGATAAGAGGCTGGGCGGACCCCAGATCCGTTATAAACTCTGTGGAGAAGAGAAAATCTCTCGGTCCGACCGTTCAGCCGGTAGCCAGTCGCTATATCGACTGAGCTACCTCAGCCCTCATTCTGAAACTGAATCTTATAATTATTGTGTGAACAACTAAATATATTTATTATATTAGTGTGAAATAAGATTTTGTGCAATGCATAAAAAATATTATAGTACACAGCTTTAAATGCGGTATAGCTTTGTGATTGTAACTTTTTATTATTCTTTGCGTTACAGACTAGTAATTTATGTAGTACGAATAACAAACAAATGATTTTTATTAAAGTTGATTTTTCATCGAATACATAGACAATTTTCACTATGAAAGAAGTACATACATACTCTTAAGTAGCGTGTTTATGAAATATGTCATATTTAGATGTGATACGAATTCACCAGAGAAAATTCCATTCACTAAAATTCTATTCAAGTATATTCATATAGAGGTGAATATAAGGCTTTGTTACACTGTAAATTCGAAATGTTTTTGCATTGATTTTTATATATCATTCTGATTATTGCGACAAAAACATTCTGTGAAATTTTCGGTATATTTGCCGTCGACATAAATGTAGATCTTTCTCAGGATTCCGTGGATACAAATGATTATGCAACAATTTGGGATAGTAGAAATGTATTTTTTTTTGCGTCACACTAGCTACGTCGTAGTGCTGGTGATAACAATTTTCGATAGCAGACAACACCAATGACGAAGGTGAATTTCAAGTGTGCTTGTAAAGGGTATACTTGTATTTTGCTTGTATCTTAGAGTGTTGATAGAAATTATTTTTAATTAATTATTTTGGAAAAATAAAAAAATTCCATTCATTAAAACCCATGATGAATCTTTCTACATACAATACAACTATCAGTGACCAGTGAAAATACGGTTTTGGAACTGGCTAGAACGTTAAAAGTGAAAATAACAGGGTTCATCGAGCCAAGAACTTATACTAGAAACGGTGGTAGTGAGTGTAGACTTCTGATACAGTTACATGCACGCAAGTGTTTTTCTTAATTGAAGAGTTTACACATGCTATGTACTTGCCATGAGTCCAATGTTTACACCACACTTAACTCAGCTGTAGGACTTGGAATCAATATCATAATATTTACAAACAAATTAGATAAACAATCGCCATACTTTTGGATTTAGGTAAGTTCAAAATCCCCATGGCCCAGAAAACCACGAGTTAGTAACTTACGTTCTGTGCAACTTAGCTAGGTTTCTTAGACACTCTTTTTTTTTAATGCTTCTGTTGTGGGACTAAGTCCCTTGCACTGCGGCCATTTCTGGCCTATTGTACCAACCCCAGATGATAGGTGAGGATGATTGTGGAGCAATTGGTGGAATGAAGATTGGCAAGGGAAACCAAAGTACTCTGAGAAAACCTGCCCAGCACCACTTTGTACACCACAAATCCCACTTGACCAGACCCGGGATCGAACCCGGACCGCCGCGTTAGAAAGCCAGCGACTAACCGCTTGAGCTATGGCGCGGCCTTAGACACTTTTTCTAAATAACTTTCTTCATTTTGTTAGTAAAACAAAATCTGTTTCAACAACCCTCGTTTTGTGGCTACAAAATGTAACAGTAGTTTGTAGTCTAGACAGCAACAAATGAAACATATTCAATTATTTCTTAAGCATTAACTAAAATGTTCAAAGAACTGAGTCATAATTGGGAAGTTAGTAGTAACTTAGCTAGTCCTGAAATTCTCCGCATTTTGTGGAATCCCAAGATACTTGTATATTATGATATTCGGAAGAGCCATCAAGTTGTCTCTGCCTTGGGCCTGGAACACTCAGTCCACAGTCTCACATCCGCCTCCTTAAAGTTGCTTTAAGAATGTCCTTCCACCCGTCCGCAGTTGCAACATCCTGGGACAGTGAAGTTTATTTCTTCATGCATTGCCACGGCTGAGTAATCCAGTCATTATGTGTAAATGACAGTCATGTTGTTCTGGACTCGAAATTAAATATGCATGCATTTGGTATACATTTGAATGCATCTCAGACTTCAGTATTTTCTGTCGGCGTCCGTGTGATATTATTTACTCGTATGTATTAGAGTGTCTGTTAATAAAATTGGAATTGGAATTTTTAATTTATATGTAGGCCCACATTTTCTTAATTATTGGAAGTGTTTAGCGAGGCCCACGCAAGCTTATCCCCAATTCCATACTTCTCTAGGAACATTTTTTAACTCAGCAAGGCTACCGTATCACTGTATAATATCAGTAATATAAATATAAAACAATAAGCTTTTATGATTGTATTAAGTGTTCAACAAAATTAACTTAAGCGTAATATTCTAAAAAATTAAGTCCGATTCAATAAAAAAACGAAGTATATATATTGTATATAAATGATATACAATTATCTAGAACAATCCTTTGGATTCTGTCATTTCTTTTTGCTTAAGTCCGTGGCGTTGTAATTCCCAGTGATTTAGTACATCACCGCTCACTTCTTTTGAAAAGATTTTCATTTTGTTACATTTCTCTTGTCTTGTTCTTCATGTTGATAATTTTGATGATTATGATGGCTTTCTGTAGCCTTAAAGTTTGGAAAATCATATGAAAGCTGACCTCTCCCAACAATGACAGTGAGTTTACTGAGCAAATGTCATGTCAAAATGAATGTAATATCCGGCGTAGCTTCATCGAGACAATGCCAAGAGGAGTTTCTGCTCCCTGCTCCTTGCTTCATGCTGATGTATTCACGTTTATGGACCTCAGAATAATTGGGAATAAACCACACTTTAGTTTAGACAAGAAGGCTCTTTCAGGCTTGTAGATTGGGTACAACACTTGTCAGGCCACCTTTTCTGAAGCAGGGGGTTCCACCCACCCTCCAAACGCAACTTCTATTTCTTTGGCTACTGCAAGTGACAGCCGGTCTTGGAAGGGTGCAGCCACAACCTGTACGGAATAAAAGAGCATAGCAGGGTGATTTATTACAACCAGTGATGGGTTATATTTTGCAAGAAGTTTAAAAACTACGACAATATTACTTACTTCTTATATTACGTAATGGGACAGATATGAAGGATCACAAACAATATGCATTGTAGTTCGACAGGTGCCTGTTATAACAACCAGAGAGTCTAATTACTTTTGCATAGCCTCCGAGTACTCTAATATAATACCAGTCAGCAAATTGACTCCTTTCTGGCTTTACGACCGCAATTCTGTTTCCAGGGCAGGCATGGCCTTACTCTCGGTCATTAAGCCTAGAGCAGCCTAGAAGACGTATCAGCTCCCTACACAAATGACATGGTAATTTTTTTCCCAAGGAATAAATCAGCCGGATCGTGAAACTGCCCATTCACTTTCATGTAGTTTCGAGCTTAGGAATGAGTGGAGTTTCATCTCCACGCTGCCAGTGTATAGTACTCAGGCACAAGTTTAACCTTACATTTAACTTTTAATACAGTAGATCCATGACAGAATTATAAGTATCAGGCTGCGGTATTCTGTCTGACAAGAGGCGGTCAAGGACGCGTAACCATGATTGCAAGCTGTACAGGGAAAGCACACAAAGTCCAATGACACGAAATTCTTTTCCAACAAGTTGTCCAGAGAGAATAGAAGAGGCTGCCGTGTGATATTATCTGGTGCACACGACCTGATTCATAGTACGTCCATATTTACGTGTATATATTATATATTGTGGTGGTGTGCAGAAAAATATTCTGCACCCTTAAAACTTCAAATTCTTTAAATATTTACTTTCATATATATTACTGCGATTAGGCCTAAATTAATTATTGATTTATTAGAAATAAAAAAAGCCATCTATCCAGAGGTCTCTACTAAGCTTGGCAATCAGTCCTTTGTTTCAGAAAATAGTTAGGATATGAGAAGGGAATTAAGAAAAAAATATTTACCTGAATTCCAATCGGCAGGCCTTGTTTATTCATGCCAACATGGCAATTCGTGACTGGCAATTCCAGTGCGTTCATTATCATCGTGTACGAGAGATTTAACATTTTGTAGTAAGATTCGAGATGAAAGTTAGCGCAGTCGATAAACGTAGGGTACAGAAATACGCCGTTGTTCCCAAGCAGTTGCTGTGAAAATACACATAATTATTTTTTCCAGCACAAATGACTCTTGAAATGATCTGAATACGGAATTAATTTGTGCTACGTTGTGCTGAGAGTCAATGAGAACTGCCTACATGTTAATTGAGGTTAAAGGTTTACAGAGCCTAAAGCTACATATTGAGTGGGCCCACTTGAACAATCTGAAATAAGGGATTTGATAATACAGTGTGTCCGTAAATGACTGATACATTTTCGGGGATAAAATACGAGGAAACTACAGAGCACACCCATATATAACCGGTATCATTAAGTAAAGTAAAGCTATTCCTGTAACAGGCCGTGAAGTTCCATAGGGTTGTGAGACATTGAGGGTCCCACATTATCTAGACAATCGGCTCAAAGATGGTGGTAAGTTTGTCAGCCTTACGCGCCGGCCGCGCTTTACTCCCCAGTAAATTTATTTAATTAATTCCTGGTACTCATTTCTGTTAGAGGCTGAGTCGACCCCACGGCCATAGTGCGGCTGGAAGGATTAGGTCAATTGAAAAAAATCCAATGACCTCATCGGGACTTGAATCCATGACCTTCCGGCTTGTAGCATAGTGCCTCAACCAACTACGCTACCGCGTACCCCACCGGTATCAGTTGAAAGTCAAATTCTCAGAGATTTCAAAATTGGCAGTATATCTCCATCTTATTTATCTTTACCGAAAAATTCCGTAATTTTAAGAAATGATGTCTCCCGTACGGAAGAGCTGTAATACTTACCTCGGAATAAAAAAATTACCGACACTCTGTATAACAATTTATTAAACTTCGTGATTCGTGTTAATTCTTATTAAATTTGTTAAATTGAGTGAATTGTACAAATGTTCAATATTTAATGCTTTTCTTTCAGTACAGAAATGTGTATTCTTTTTTAAACTCTCAGTTGTCAGGCCTAATATGAAGCAGAGTAAAAACGGGTGTGCTAATATCAAGAACTTAAAAATGTTGGTTACTTAACTGTAAGAACTTACAGAGAATTCCTTCTTGAGACTTTCATTCCTGTTTTTCAGCTTTTGAAGTTTTGCTGTGGGAATTAAGAGGGATAGCTTTTTCAGTATTGCATAACATATCGTAGTGAATGTACAGTCTGATAGACAAGTGCAGAACCTCAGCAGATCCATGAAGATGCTCCCCCATGGCTGCGTGATCGTGGAACAGAGAGAATAAAATGACATTACTGATCCAAATCTTATAGCTTCAAAACCTTCCTAAGAATGTTTGTGCGGAGAACGTGTACAAATGCCAATTGCCGTCGAATGTTTTAATTGTAACGATTATAATCGTTTGCTTCTTAATGTAACATGCAGTTCCATCAACTGACTTTGATGTAATTTTCTTGTTATCACAACCAAATTAACAGAGTAAAAGAACAAAATGCTGAAGTAACATACGCTACTTCATGCGGTAAATATTCTGACATATTTAGGAGGTGCCCATCTCATATCTCGGTCGGGGAACCTACGATCCTGACACAAGGTTTTCGTGCTTACATTGAAATAGGCCACAACCGCTTCCCTCCACATTAATTCCAATTATTCTTGCATTAATCATCCTTCCATTAGGCGCTGTATAGTGTCCGATACCGACAGCGTCGTGACAACAAAATAAAAACTAGAGACTTGGATGTCTTCCATTAAACAGGGATTCGTAAGTTTGGAACTACAGCAGCGGATGTAGAGTTCGGGGGGTTGCGTATAGCAAAGATTCAAATTATGCTCCGTTTATACCACGCTTAAAACAAACACGTAGACCTACGTTTCTAAAGGTAGGTACAAATTAAAATTCACACCACTAAAATTGGTTTAGGTCTTTGGGACCCTGTGCTTATGTAATTATAGTTTAGCGTAGTTACAGTATGCTCCCTTATAGCATTTCCTGTAGAACATAGCGTAATGCTAACAGGAAATGCCACTATTTTCACTGTAAATCAACAAGAGTTCTGTTTAATACCTTCGTTATTGAACCTACTGACTGTTATCAGACTAAACGAATTCTATGGAACTTGCATACCTTAGGATGAACGTCCGTTCTGTGAACTGATGTAATGCCATTTAGTTGTATAATTATTGGGCCTGAGAGAGCGTTCGCATGTCTCATCTCCTTAATGTCAACCTGAAACATTAGTAGAGAGGGTATTATTTGATATACAGTAGATTGGTTCAAAGTATTTTATGAATGAAAACCAGAAAACTTGAACGGATACTGGAGATAAACTGAAGAATTTACAAATTGGACCAATTATTTATGCTGTAAGTTTGTTACTCAAACTTCATTTTGTGAAGATTCTAATTTAATTATACTGTTTATTTACCTTTGAGCTTTACATGGAATTCCTGAATTATTAATTTTCTTTAAGATATTCATTTGTTCCTTTAAGAAATATGCAGATGAGAAGTTAATTTCCGGATAGCAGAGCAGGTTGAAAAAGTGGAGGGGAACCATATCCTAAAGAGGGATTTCAATTATCGCCCGTTAGAAAAATAGAGATTCGAAAGTGGGACAGAAGGACTGATTGAACAAAAGAAAGTTAAGGAAACTGGAGACAGCAGATTTAATGACAGTGAAATTTGTCTGCTGGATTTAATAAACTCAACCAATAGAGTCTATACACACAACCTCGAAAATGTAGCGTCAAAATTTTACTTACAACTGTCAGTAAGCTGGATACGGTGTCTGTGATGACAACTAAGACAACTGTATCTAAAGTGTTAAGCAATTTTTCGGATATGATTTAGCACAGTCTAGGCTATATTTTTGCTATTTAAATTCATACATGCTTGTTTCTATTGAAAGTTAAATTAATTTTCAGTCACCTAAACTTTCTTTAGAATTAAATAGATTATTTCAATAATAGGAGTTGCTCTATTTTTTAAATTACTATAAGAGATAAATTACTTTTTACCTCCGAGGAACATAATTGTAATTTAAATGCTGAGCAGTTCCTTCTTGTAATCCCTGCGCCATTTTGGTAATACTGTGTACGTCTGGCTTTGTTAGTAGATGCAGACTCTCTCTTTGTCTTCAGATAGGAATATTCTCACCGTGTATCATATCGCAAGGAAATAGTACGCTGGTATGAAATAGGCCCAAAACTAATTCCACTGAGCTTGAGCCCTTCTTGAGAGATCGCCAGTCGTTAAGCTACTCAAGAATTATCTAACAATTTGTGGAATTCTAAGGTTCATTATCGTGTATATAATAGCCCTCCACTGGTCTCTATCATTAGATACATAAATCCAGTCCATAGCACTCTCTCCAATATCTCTTGAGATCCACATTGAAATATCTTCACATATATATCTAGGTTTTCATAGCAGGTTATGGGCAAATATAAAGGTAAATACGGATATGTGAGATCGCCAAGCGGCTGAAATGGTAGAGTTCAAGTTCACATTATTTGTATGAAAGGAAATATGCAAAATGTTTACAGGAATATCTCCGAAGATACAATAAACCCATACACAAGAAGGCGAACAAATGTGGTGCTATGAGATAAATACAATTTATTCTGTTTCATTTCCGATTAAATTGTCAAGCTAGAAGCATATTTAGAGGGGTAATTTCCACTCACCTTTTGTGCTACAATAGCGTGGGTTGTTTGTAGGTACTCCACAACTCTCGCTATGGCTTCCTTTATTTCTCTACTAACGCCGTTCGTTAGAACAGAGCCTCCATCATCTTGCATGTAGTAAACCTTAATCGTGCGGATATCGACCTGTTTGTTCAAAACAAAGGTGAAGAAGCAATTAATTTACGGGAGATTACACTTTCAGAATCATGTCATGCAGTTTTTAACGCTTCTCTGTATATGTGATTGTGATTAATCCTTTATATGCTTATGGGTACAGCCGGACACTGCTCGATGTCCGAGATACGTCGGTTACGGAAAGAAATTTCGACAGTGTTCTCTGCTGCTGTCTCGTTGCGAGTGTTTTCCATTTTTATTGGGCTTAATTTCTACTTCGACATGAGTGGCAGTGGTTGGGGTCGAACTCGAAATTGTTGAATACGAGGCTTGTCTGATTGTCTGTTTACTGGTAGGGTTGTGCAGATTATCTCCTTTCCCCTGGTACAGAGTTTTTAAATAATAAGGAATTTTAAATTTTGTATGTCATATTAAACCCCCATAAATTCTGAAGCTTTCAAACGTAATCCCAATTTCCTCTATTACATCTCTGTAAATTTTTCATCTTGGTCCTATCCCATTAACCAGTATTCATAACTTCATATCAGTTACCCAAAACCATAAAACCGTATAGCACACTATGAACTCTCAAGTGTCCAGAATTCATTTATAGAAATCTAGACACCATATGACAGGCAGGTAACTACTGGAAATTATTCTAAATTGATCTTCATGGTTTTCAGGGCAGTCTTTATGAACTACAATAATTTTTATTTTTGTCAGAATCCAAACAAAAGCTACAGTCAGTGAAACGAGATTGCTTAAGAAGGAAAACAAAATTAGCAGTTAAAATACGTTAATTTCTTCTGTGATGAGGTAAGTGACGAACTGAATTCCAAACTTTCGATGCGAGGCCATTAATGCAATTCAAGTCCTGTTATAGTTTTCGAATATTCGTACGTAGCTTCATTATTGGATATCCACTTTTCTGTCATAATTGACTAGATTCTGGATTTTGCACTTTAATAAATCTGAGAGCTTATTTGAAACACATATTGCTACAAAGTTCTCGAATACCTGCCACAATAATTTAACTATATTGCAGTTTCTACGTAATATATAAAATTTGGAAGAACGAAAGTTACCTTAAGCAACACCTAAAAGTATAGAAAAAACGAGTGTGTTTCTAATATTAAATTGCAGCATCCTGTTGCACGGAGTAAGTCTGAATTTGCGTTCCCTGTTTTGCCGTCTGTGTGCAATTTGTAAATAGTGTAAAATATTTCGGTGTAATCTTCGATAGGAGGGTTACATGGAAATTGCACATAGAAATGATAGAAGCCAAGGCCTTCAGAACATTTATTAGATTGTATTCCATATTCAAAAGTGAGCGATTAAACGCTAACATTAAACTGACCCTCCACAAAGTTCTCATTAGATCTGTAATGACTTATGCTAGTCCCGCCTGGGAATTCGCGGCAAATACCCATGTAAAGAAATTGCAGTGCCTACAAAAACAGGTTCTCCGCACCATTGGCAATTTTCCAAGGCACATACCGGTTCCCGACTTAAACATGGCTTTCAAAATTACGCACGTATATGATTATATAACAAAATTATGCAGGCAACAAGCAGAAGTCATACAAAATCTCGACAACGAATGCGTTCACAATACTGGACAAGGCGAAGCAGCCATAGAAAGTATAAGAGGCTTAAACTTGGAGGCGGTCAAGCATACGACCGTTCAAGTGTTTAGACTGCCGTCGTAGCGTAAGCTACTAGAAACAGGGCATAATCTGCTGTACTGAGCCTGGACTGACAGAAGCCCTGTATATATTTTATATACATTGATTAACATGCATTTTCCAACATTTTATGAAATCCGAAGGTTCATTGCCGTGTTCACAAGAGTCCTCCACTGGTCCCTATCCTGAGCCAGATTAATCCAATGCATACCATCCCGTCCTACCTCTCTAAGATCCATTTTAATATTGTCCACCCACTTACGCCTTAGTCTTCCCAGTGGTCTCTTTCCTTCTGGCTTTCCCACCTATATCCATTCCTTTTCTCCCATATTCGTGCTACATGCCCTGCCCATCTCCTCCTTGACTTTATCATTCTAATTTTACTTGGAGGAGAGTACTAGTTATGAAGCTCCTCATTTTACAGTTATAAACATACATAACATATAAAATGTAAATATCCTTCACATTATGACAAATGACTTACTACTGCAGACAATGACTCTAACAAAAGACATACCCGTCCTCTCGTCAGAGGTCCAATTGTCCCTGTGCTCAACTAATCAAGCATATGCCATGAAGATTTATGGGATGTGGATGTAGACACACGTTTTTCTCACCACGGTATTAGTTAAATAAATGGGTATTGTTATATTTTCTTAGTAATATAAGATCTAGTAATGCAAGTCACAAGTAAAGTAAAGTAAAGTAAAGATATCCCTGTAACAGGCCGTGGAGGCCCATAGGGTTGTGAGATGTTGAGATTCCCACATTTTCTAGACAATCGGCTTATAGATGGCGGCAAGGTTGTCAGCCCTACGCACCGGCCGCCCTTTGCCCTCAAGAATATTCCAAGAATATTCCTGATACTCATTTCTGTTAAAGGTTGAGTCGACCCCAGGGTCATAGTGCGGCTAGAAGGATTAGGTCAATTGAAAAAAAATCCAATGACCTCATCGGGACTTGAACCCGCGATCTTCCGGCTTGTAGTGTAGTGCATCAATCGACTACGCTACTGCGTGCCCCCATTCAAGTAGCAGTTACACCTCTGAAATAAGACTTAAAATTCAAAAGTAAATAAAATATTTCTCTACTTACTCTCAGAAATCTGGAGGTAAAAATAATATAATACCTCTCCATTTTCTGAAGCCAAAGTAACGCACAGATCCAGGAGTTGTTACGAGACATCTAATAGCCGTGAGCATAAATAACATTATTCTTTACCTTTTCATCTAATTGCAGTTTATCGGCATTTTCATGTGCTAGGACTTTCAGCATCGCTGCCAAATCTTCCGCGTACCGCGACATTGGACCAATGGTGAAAAACCTACCCCAGTTTTCGTCTGTTGAAGTAGGATTGTGACCCGAATGTGACACGACACCTGAAAACATAGGAATGTGATGTGTGTATGAATTAGAACATTTGAAAAGTGGATGATCTTAATGTAGATTTCATTCTTTCTTTACTAACGGTATGCTAGCAGACTAGAACCGTTTGCTAGGACCAAATTAATGGGATTATTTAATACCTTCATCAGCCGGTCACGATAGTCGAACGGCCTGAGACATGTACTGTCCTCAATTGCTCGGAATCCTGAATCGTGGGTTCGAATCCCACACAAGGCTTGGATGTTGGGTATGTGTGAGCGTTTATTCTGGGTTTGTGTTGTCCTGTGTTTAGGTAGAGGTCTTACGACGAGTTGATCACTTGTCTGAGGAGTCCTAGCGTCTGTGAAACTATCATGAAACTGAAAAATCAGAGGCCAGGACCTAAGGGGACTGTAGAGCCAGTGGGGAAAAAAAATAGTACCTTCAGCAGGCACTTTTGAAATTTTCACACCATGTTTCAAAGCCATGGCTTCGCTTCAAGTAGAAAATTTATACAAAATACCACTTGTTAGTAACTTAGTCTAAAGTAATACAAATATAAGAATATCCGACGCCTAGAGTCATGGCAGAAGAATCTAAGATCTGTGCAGTCAATGACACTCTTAAAATATAATAGGCATTTGTATGTACTGTTACTGTATTATAACCACCAAGTGAATGGTCCCTTGAAGGCTTGTAGCAATATTCCTAGTAGGAGAGAATAAAATAATATTTCGACTTAACTTTTTGGGAGTATTTTTTTGAGAATTTATAAGAATATTGCTTGAACCCCCCCCCCCAATTCTTCATGGCCCTATAACACCATACAGCTGGAAGTATACGTGATTTCCAAATGTGTTCTCAGCCGTTCTACGTAGTCCTCCCCTATTTCGTCTCGGTTTTCTTTTATTGCAGATATAAATTTATATATGCAAACATCATTGCTTTACAGATGTATTGTATAATACCATAATTTTTCTCCATGTCTCTATGTAAATATTCTCCACGTGGAATTACAATTAAAGTTATAGGCGTCATTGAGATATATGCGAGAATCTATGTGGTATGTTCTGCAGTGATGAGAAATGCATAAAACATTTCAGTCAGAAGATCTGAATGAGAGATTCCACTAAGTGGACGTAGTCATAGATGAAAGAATAACATTGAAATGGTTTCTACGAATCAGAAAAATGGGTTGTAGTTTTGGGTGACTCTGTCTTAGGATGGGAAGTGGTGGAGAAGTAGGTAGCTAGATAGGTAGGTAGGTAGGTAGTTAGATAGGTAGATAGGGAAGCCCTGTGGACGTGGCAATGAACTTTCGGTTTCAAGAGAGATGAGGAAATTCTTAATCAACTAATCAACTCTAAATTTATTAAGAGTAACTGTGCTCCATGGATTTAGTTTTAACTTTCTTTATGACGTGTCATGGGACAGTTTTTAGACATTAAAAAATATTCTGTTTAAAATTATGGATTAAATTGTGCAGATAAGTATAACTGTTTGTTTCATCCTGTAACCTTTAGTGTGGATCAGTAATGTAACGTGGACGCCCAAAGCGTTTCTAGGCGAAGGCTCGATAAACACGTTTCCGTGAATACGCAACAATGGAAACTGTGTTCGCTGTTGGCTATGCTACAAGTAGTTGTTAAGTGACGCAATACTGTTGACAAAGGAGGAGAGTGTTTTCTATGTGGTCCGCTCCGCGACCGTTGCCCTGGTTCTGTAAACATGTTTCAACAAGAGAGGCTGTGTTTTCTGCGTGGTCAATGCGGAGGCTGTATAACGACAGTTACATGCATGACCGTCACCAAGACTGACTGACTGACCGACCGTCAGTCGTGATGTGACTTTGACTTCGACCTAACAAATTTAATTTTTTAGTGACAGCGACAAAGTGGAGAGTCCAGGAGAGTTCAAGGACGAGAATGGAGCATGAATTGTGAAGATTAACTGAGTACAGATTAAGACACGGGAGTACAGAGTGATTGTAGACAAGAAGCCGTCCTAGTGATTTGAAGTGATAGTGTCTATACTGAGATCCGTTGCTAGGAGACGACTAGTGAAGATATAGGATCCTAGTACGTATGCAACGGTGAATTGTCAAATATGTAATTCGGTGATAGTGCAATATTAATTGTAATTAAGAGAGATTGTAACCGAAGTGCCAATAAATCCAATCATCCGAACTAGAGCCCGTTATTCTCATCACGAGTACTGTCCTACACGTGACAGTATTTAATCGAAACATATTCGGTAATTCTGTAATTGAAACTTGCGAACAGGCAGGCAGACAAACGGGGACGCCTTTCCTTATATGCGTCAACTTCTTATATATTATGAAAGGAAAGAATGGGGTATATTTAAAACTTCTCCTGTTTTGAAAGTTTTATTTTATCTTAACTCGGCTTCTCAAACTCTCACAGTGGCCGCGCGGTCTAAGGAATGAACCGTCTTCGCCCACTCCAAGACTGGGATCGTGGTTTCGAATCCCATTCAAGGCATGGATATATTTGTGTGTGTTGTCCTGTGTGTAGGTAGCGGCCTTGCGACGGTTTGATCTCCGGTCCAAGGAGTCCTACCAACTGTGTAAGAAACTGAAAAAACGGCCAAGGTCCACAAGGGCTATAGAGCCATAGATAGATACATATTCTCCTCAAATGTGACCGACCTTGTAAGAAATTGGGGACTACATGACATGGATCTCATTAAGATACACAGATTTTATCTGTATATTTATTTATATGCTCATTCATTGAGTTCTAAGGAAAATAATATTAACTGTATGGAATGGGCAGTGTGATTAGCTTTTAAGAAGGAATTTATGAATATAATAAATTAGAATAATATCAAGGCCGGCGAGGTATTCAAAGTCGTAGAGGACAAGTTCGGGAAAAAATATTCCTCTGGGCTAGTTTACATCTTTCAAACCTTGTTTTAATGTGACCTACATACATGTTTAAAAGAGATTTGTATTTTGTTAGTGTCAGTGTATTCCCCTATATATGTTTTGAAAATATTCAAAGGGATTATTCCCGCAACATTTCTAACCTGGTGTTGGTTTGTGTGCGAAGATGCCAGTGAACGCTGCCGGAATTCGTAGGGATCCACCTATGTCCGAGCCCAGACCAATAACCGACCCAGCGGAAGCCAACAGGGCCGCCTATACAGTGGGACAAAAATTAAACAACGTTACAACCACATCATACAGCACAGGCGAAATCAATTGTGCATAGTTCAGTGTGTGGGTCACATTGGTATTATCATTTAATGGGCGAGAAAATCGAAAAAAAAAAAAAAATTGCTATGAAGAGAAACACAGAAGCTCTATTAGACGATACTAAATGTTCTAGTGTAGACATAAATTGAGAGAAAATTACGTAAAAGTAAGTAAATACAGTAAAGATACCCCTGTAACAGGGCGTGGAGGCCCATAGCGTTGTGAGATGTTGAGGTTCCCACATTTTCTAGACAATCGGCTCATAGATGGCAGTAAGGTTGTCAGCCTTACGCGCCGGCCGCCCTTTACCCCCAAGAACATTCCAAGAATATTCCTGGTACTCATTTCTCTTAGAGGCTGAGTCAACCCCAGGGCCATAGTACGACTTGAAGGATTAGGTCAATTGAAAAGAAAAACCAAGAACCCACGACATTCTGGTTTGTAGCATATTGCCTCAACCAACTACGCTACCGCGTGCCCCCTAGAGAAAATTACGTATATGTATTTAAGCAGGACAAATCTCTAAAGGGAGTTCATATATCCTTGGAAAAGTTCAAATACTTGCCCACGGCAGTAATAAATCAGAATCGGTATTCCAGAAGAACTTAAGAACATATTAGTTCAAGCATTTTGTTTTCCGACAACGAAGGGAAATTTACAAATAAGAAGTTTCTTTATTTAGTGGGTACGAGATTTTGTCTTCTAGAACATCTCTTTTATTATAGTAGACGAAGCTGTATTGAGGCTTCTTGAATCTTTAGCTGTCGTTCATTCTACGCATTCTCTGTTATTAGTATTGTCGATAGCAACATTAATTATTCATTCGTTCATTTATTCATCAATGGCTCTACAGCCCTTTGTTGAGCCCTGGATTCTTCATTAGTTCCGTAATCTTATTTACACAGACGGTAGGACTCCTCGGACTAGTGATCAGCCCGCCACAAGGCCGCTACCTACACACAGGACAACACACACACTAATGGAATAACTGGGAAGGGATGTTCTCCATGCTGTCCGCGACAGCTGCGTGACGCAACAATAGAAGAACTATTGGGAGAGGTGTTTTCTGTGCGGTCTTTGCCGAGGTGTTACAAAAGGGACAGGTATAGTATAGTTAGTTGTGAGACAATCTCCAGGCAGTAAAGACGTGAACACGAAAACTGAGGAAGCTACGGCATTGAAGCCGTTACCAGGCGACAACCGGCGAAGATACGGCAGACTGAGGAAAGTTGGTGCGCCTGTAGTGAATTTTAGAATGTGTGAATTAGCGAGAGCTCTATAAGGTACTTAAATTTACGATCTGTAAGTGTTCAATACATCCAATTACCAATCCAAACCCCATCTAAAGTAACATACACACTGGACAGTATTATGTTGGGCATAGTATTTTATGGGGTAGTTATAACACACAAGCTTTCAGATGCTGAATTTTCGTTCTTCGTTAGGCGCAAGGGGGGAAGGAAAAATCCTTCGGGAACATTTATTCTGAATCACGGGACTTTGTGACTGAGACCAGTTGTTTCTAACGGGACCAATTGAGTAGGATTCTTTCCCCTATTTGCACCTAATTATGGAGACGAACGCAGTTTCCGGAACAATGCGTGCGTCTAAGCTAAACAATCCACAGACTTTGGACTGTCAAAATTAATACAGCAATACCTCGCATAGTCCGGGTAATCGGTTCCGCCATATCCCGGACTCTTTGAAACCGGACCAATCGAGGAACTAAATACATACAAAGAATGATAATTGGTTCGGAAAAAATTCTCCGTTTTTCAATAAATAAAACGCGATTAATAAATTCGAACGTCTTTATTAGAAATAATTTAAAAAATTCATGTTTTCACAATTCATTTTTTATTCTCTAAAAGTTGCAATATTGATGTCTGCACATTTTTCTACTTTGGCCTTTTCTCTTCATACATTTCCTTGTAGCAACGAATTGCTTTGTTTATCATCCGGCGAATTGTAAGGCTACGTTCAATATTGGGATCAACTTCCATAATATGCTCTGACAAGGTTTCACCCATTCCAGTAATTTTTTATAGGTGTTCAGCTGTTAATTCTAGTGCAGGCACTTCAACACAGTCGTCGTTGTCTAACTTGTCCTCCCGTTCTTCATAAGCCCGTTGTTCATCTTTGTTAATAAGTGTTTCATTATCTAGTTCATTAGTGTTCGATTTGATGCACTCAATTACGTTGACGGAATCTAACTCATTGAAACCAAGTTGCTGTCCAGTTTCCACTATGTTATTAGTGACTTCAGCAAAATCAGTTTAAAAACCAATGAAAACATTTGTACATTGTGGTATGATATGTTTCCATACTGCCCTCATATTGCTTGCCGTTAATTCAAGCCATGCTTCACCTGTATTTTCGATAACGTTTCTTATGTTGTAGCTCTTCCAAAATTCCGTTAAAGCAGTGCTCTCCCACCTCCTCCAGCGATAGTTGTCAGAGCTCAAAAACGAATGACCCGAACATATACAACGGGAAACCCCAGAAAAAATTGAATATGTATCGTATCGCATAACTTTAAAACCACATAAAAATAAACCGCACAAAAAGAGACTTGACTTTACGAAAAAAAACGATCATTTGTGTATTAAAAATAATTTTGTGTACTAATTTTTTAGAATTTATTTTTATTTTGCTCCACTAAAATTTAGTTTGTTTTGAAATTTTTAAAACCGGACTGATCGAAGCCGGACTATGCGAGGTATTGCTATATTCTTAAAATGAATTGACCTCTGTCACATACATATAGAATTTTTGCGTAAGTTCAGTGCTGCCGAATGGTCCAGTGTTTACGGACGGTGAAATGGGAATGAGGCGTGCACCAGGCAACTGTAAGAACTGGCTGTTGTTAATTTCACATGAATAAATACGAAATTCGCCGGTCACGGTAGCCGAGCGGTCTAAGGCATGTCCTGTTTTCGCTCGCTTGGAAACCGGGATCGTGGGTTCGAATCCCACTCAGGGCATGGATGTTTAGTTTGTGTGTGTGTGTGCGTTTTTCTGTGTTTGTGTACAGATAGAGGCCTTGTGACGAGCTGATCACCTCCCCAAGGAGTCATACCGAATGTGTAAGATCTAGAAAAACCGAAGTGAGCGGAGAAGTTCATGGAGGTAGGCCTAGACCCACTGGGGCTGTAGTGCCAAGAAAAAAAAACATATGAAATTCGTTCATATACTTGCCGTAGTTCGTCGCTCGTAACGCAAACAGACGACAGAAACAATGTTCAACATACGCGCCACTGGAATCTGTTTAGTGCATTGTTTATGTAGAGCTGTATCGTTGACAGCATTGGCTAACTTACTGGCATATTGCCTTACTGTCTGATTGCGTAGATGACTGTCCGACTGTCCATCTGGCTAGCTGACAACCGAACTACCTGCTTCACTACCTAGTTGCTGGCTTATCTAATCGGCCGTTTGCTAAGAATCGCGTGTATTACGAAGTACTCGAAAGCTGTTACACTGTTCAAGAAATGTTATATTGTAGAACTGAAATCATCATAACGCAACGATGCACCATATCCTGGCTTACTTGATTGCAGTAAGCAAATGTGTGTTGTGCTTAATTATCATTCCATGGGGACCTATGGAAAGAGTGGAAGTATAGTTCCACGAATTCCTAACTTGGGCACGAGGTGGAGGCGAGGGGACAGCTTCAAGAGCCACATACTCCCTCTTTGCCAGGGGAAAGATCCAAGATATCCACAAAGAGGAGAATGAGTGGGCCCCAGAACCGGTATGGATGCTATGAAAAAAAGAAAAATTTCTCCATGCTGGGAATCAAATCCTCGGTCTTTCAAACACGTAGCCTATTCACTATACTATCTATTTTTATTTGTTTTAATTCGCTTACTGGGGGTTGGAGTCCAACTGGGCCCACTCGGCACGGCAGCCACTGATTGGCCTATTGTAGCCTGCCCCTAGAGATCATTATGATGGAGAATTTGGTGGAATGAAGATTGGCAGGGGAAACCGAAGTACTCGGAGAAAACCCGCCCCAGCGCCAGTTTGTCCACCACAAATCCCACTTGACCATTCCCGGGATCGAACACTGGCCGCCGCGTTGGGAAGCCAGCGACTAACCGCTTGAGCTATGGCGCGGCCTCACTATACTATCTATCTATGGCTATATAGCCCTTTTGTTGGGCCTTGGCCGCTTTTAAGTTTCATGATCTCTTACACAGTCGGTAGGACTCCTTGGACGGGGGATCGGCCCCTCACAAGGCCGCTACCTGCATACACAAGACAGCACAAAAATGTAAACGTACAGACATTCATGCCTAAAGTGGAATTCGAACCAACGATCCCAGTGTTTGGGTGGGCGAAGGCAGTCCATGTCTCAGAGGGCGTGGCCACTGTGATCTGCAGTCCACCACACCACACTACACTACACTACACTACACTAATCACCAAAAACACGCACCCAATTGCACTTTAATATTGCCTTTTTCTAGACGCCCTGGTTTACCAGTCACTTTTATCCATCAAGTATATTATTAATTTTTTGTTATCTCTAGGAGTGGCACATGTTGAACTTGTATAAAAATGACCTTGTCCTGTCGGAAACCTTGAAGACGTTACATGTGTAAGCGTTTCCAATTACTGTCTCTACATTTTACACAATATTAAATGCATTTACTTTTATTACTTCAAGAGTACATGACAAATTTTCCACCACAGATATTTTATAATATGTATATCCCCATAAATACTCCAACAGATGCGTACTTAATTAGGAACTATCATTTTTAAAAAACACCTAATTATTTCATGGTGACGAGATTTCAAATGAAATGTTATAAAACTCAATCCTGTTTGACAACTCCCAAATCAGTGTTATTGCCTAATTCTGTTAAAGAAACTGGCACAAAATTATTTACCGAAACGCGATAAAGAGAAAATTTTATATTTTTGATCGGTACCGCAAAGTTCATTTAAATATTTGGTAACACTGTCTTAAATAAGAAGTGAATTTATCATAAGTAATTTGTGTCTACAAATGTAATTGAAACATTTCCCGGTTTTATAATACGTATTTGAATTTTTCACACCTTTGTCTATGAAAGAGTATTTCTGAGTTTTGATGCTGTGTAGTCCAGAAGAAATTGGACAGAATTTCGAAGGAACGTGCTGTATTCATCTTCATATTCGAGGAGTCAGCCAGGCAAACAAAGGCAAGAAACAACTCCGAAATGTCGGTGAACTTCTACCGGACCACACGACAGCAATTCCCACAAGACAGTGCACATCCTAATTCTGCTTACGGAGGCGGAACGTACTTCAGTAGTGTGTGGAGAGTACCTCTGTCGGGTCTTGAATAAAATATAATATGGCTATCGTTGAATCCCAATGAAACTTACTTTTGTAAAATGAATAAATGCTTCATGGAAAGCGTGTTTCAGATAGCAAGCAAAGTACGACATATCCTTACCTCTCCACCGGATGACCCACTGGGTGTTCGTCGGAGATCATAGGGATTATTTGTAGTCCCGATTATTTTGTTGTAAGTTTCAATCATCATGCATAGCTCAGGAGTGCTTGTCACAAGAAGTGGTATGGCTCCGGAAGCCCTCATGAGCTTCACTGCCTCGGCGTCTTCCTGTGCCCTTCGCCCTTCGAATCGTAGTTGCCCAGCACTGTGCTTCAGACCTGAAAATTTATTTCCATTTCATCGAAACTGAAAATATAATTCAGTATTTCCAGGGGCTCTTGATTGGAGAAGGAGATTCGAAAACTTGGCCACTTCGATCCTCGGACCTTACTCCGCTCGACGTTTACCTATCGGACTAAGAAATCGGGTGACGTCATATGCGAAAATGTACGATATGGACAATTTCAAATGAAGAAACACGAGACACTATTAAATGTGTGAATCTAGATGTTCCTACCATTATGTATCCAGAATTAGAAAGCTGATCACAATGAAAAATGGGGCTTACAGTTAGCTTCACTAAGAACGTAGTTAAATTTTCAAAGTCAGTCTTTCGTTTCTTGTACACGTATCATTCGTGTTACAAAATCACTATGCTTGAAAACGGCACCGCAACTTTATCCACACATTTTACGTATATACAAATAATTAGCTTCATGCAAGGTTACTGGTAGCATGTTCTATGCTCCTTTAAAATCTATAATTTTTCAGTTGACGTGGCAGTAGGTTAAAGTGTCGGTCTTTTGTTTTAGTGTTGACGTGTGTATATATATATATATAGGGGCTCTACCACAACTGTGCCCTGATAGAAGTCACTTCCTTGCACACCCGCGTTTGGTCCCAGAATTCGATAGTTTGAAGTGTAACTAAAAAATTCAGCTTCTCAGAACATTATTAACATAAATTTATTTTAGACTGTTAGGCATATTGTGGCGTATAGACCCGCTGATAGGCAACGACCGAGAAAAAACGAGACAACAGCCGTTGTTAGGTAGCGTCCCACGCGCAACAATGGAAGTATTGTTGGAGGCGGTGTTTTCTATATGGTCCGCTCCAAGACTATATCACACGACTGATCGAGTTTGACTTTGACTAACAGAGCAAGAATTTTCAATAACATGCTTTATTTGCGACATGTACATTTGACGAAAGGCCAAGCATGTTCATAAGAGACAAATCTATATTCTCATCAGAAGTGTTACATAAGGACTATTACCGAGAGGATTAAGTTGAAAAAAATCTCTGGTCGTGGGTCTTAAGGGATTTCACCCCAAGACGAACTGATTAGAGGAACCGCCAGTCTTAAAATATCTTTGACTTTTACTTTGACGTTTGCTCTGTTTTTGACAGTCTAGTTAGTGCAGTGCAATGCAGTGCAGGGAAGTGAAGAGGTAGTGAGTTAGTCTGAGAACTGCAGTTAAGTTGTTGTGAACTATTGTTCTTAGAAGCTAGTGGCCGAGGCGCGGTGATAGTATGGGAACCCAGAGCAAAGGAAACGTCCGCTGTTGGAAGTCATTATCAAGAAACGACTGGTACAAACAAAGCAGACTGAAAAGACTTGCTGCGGGCTGTAGTAAATTGTAGAATGCATGAATTAATGATAGCGTTGTAGGTACTTGTAATTACGATCTGTAAGTGGTCAATAAATACAATTACAATCCAAATCCCATCTATAGTCATTCCGTATATTCGTGACAGTATGATAAACTACCACCAGTGAATTTGTATGGTTTGATTGTAGGCGTAATAATTACAGTATTTTTTTCCCCTTGGCACTACAGCCCCAGTGGGCCTAGGCCTACCTCCATGAACTTCTCCGTTCACTTCGGTTTTTCTAGATCTTACACATTCGGTAGGACTCCTTGGGCGGGTGATCAGCTCGTCGCAAGGCCTCTACCTGTAGACAAACACAGAAAAACGCACACGAACATCCATGCCCTGAGTGGGATTCGAACCCACGATCCCGGCTTCCGAGCGAGCGAAGACAGTGCATGCCTTAGACCGCTCGGCTACCGTGACCGGCAATTACAATATTTACCCAAGGAATTTTGTAAAATGATAATGTAAATTATTAAACTAGAAATTTTTGCCAAATATCGTGACCTATGGCGTTTGGCTGTTTCCCTCCGCGATGGATGAGACTCGCAAAATTAAAATGTACTTACCCAAAACAAAAATATTTTTGATTGAAACTACAGATTAACTATAAATTCCTATTCAATTTCAGTTTATTTACGTGCAAACTTAACAGCACAGAGGCCAATTACAAAGTTAGCACAAGTACATAGAAATACACAAAAATAATTATAATGAAAACACAAAATATGACAGTATATATAATGGAAATAAATTAATATTAATATTTTCAAGAGGAGACTTTTACTGTGGTCTCCTGTGTTGTGACCTTATGTAAACTTGTGAGTGGTTACCGAAGTTATGAAGGAACCTGCCACCTCCAGCTTGTACCCTGAACAAGTAGGCAGCAAGCTTCTCCGAAACGTCGGCAACCACCCACAAAACGATAAGACATCCAGGAAGCTGTTTCAAGCTGTAAAATTCTGATTTGTACTCATGAGGTGCTTATTTCTAACCTCAGCTAGGGAACCGGATATTCCTCGGCCCCTTCAGGCAAATGCAGGAATAATTCCTTAAATTAGGCCACTACAGCGTCCTTCCACATGTTTTACAATTCATTATCACCTTGCCATGCTACCCCAGGCCTATACGGCCGGAGCTACTGACAGCGGCATTAAATACAACCCAAATAAGATATGTATGCAGTGTCCAAACCAAAGATACCAATCGAAATGCGAATTCATTATTTGTCTTTATATTTTGTTGGACTTTTGAGTCAGTCTTACTAGCTTTCGAGAGTCCTGGTGGCTTTGAAAGTTATGGCTGTTTGCTATCAGTAAAGTTATCATTAATACATGTCACCCAACCACCTACGTGACTCTGACGGTGTTACTGATATACCGTGCATAGCGGACAGTCTCGTGAATGCTCAGATGTGGAGGAAAGTAACGTACAGATAAAGAGTCATAAGCTTATCATAAGACAGTCATGCTTGGGTTACTGAGCTGTGCAATGGTAGATAACGTACCTTTAACGGCAATGCTCTCCTTGACGCTGAGCGGAACGCCGAAGAAAGGCGTTTCTTTCGCCATTTGCTGCTCACTTTTTGCACCTGTCTGCACGACTCGATCGACATACCTAGCGTCAAGAATAGCGGCCTCAAACCGATTGTCCATCATGCAGTTCAGTAGGGGGTTGACATCCCGGATGCGAGAAATGAAGGCCTTGACGACTTCCTCACTCGTTACCTGAAATTTCATGAACGGTTATGAGAGCAACGTGTATGGGGTCAGTTATGTTTTAGTAAAATGAAATACGTAGTAACCAATCGAATTCTTCCTGTTGCGAAGTCGGATCTATGAACTCCGACTAATAAAGGACCGAAACAAGCAAACTAATACTTTCATATTCGATTTTGCCAAAATGGCTGCTTCTTCATCTGCACCACAAAACAAATTAACCCCTAAATAAATTGGTCGCATGTAGGATTTATATATTCACATTTTTCCCTTGGCACTACAGCCCCAGTGGGCCTAGGCCTACCTCCATGAACTCCTTTCACTTCAGTTTTTCTAGATCGTACACATTCGGTAGGACTCCTTGGGCGAGTGATCAGCTCGTCGCAAGGCCTCTACCTGTAGACAAACACAGAAAAACGCACACAAACATCCATGCCCTGAGTGGGATTCGAACCCACGATCTCAGCTTCCGAGCGAGCGAAGACAGTGCATGCCTTAGAATATATTCACATGACGTATTTAATTCCACAACACGCAGTCACATTTCAGACCAAAATACAAATTTGGTACATTTTTAAAGCTTTTTATATTTGTTTCAGGAACATGTTTTGTCGTAGTGGCACGTATTCTGGCAATTTATAACAACTAATTTAAGTTATTCACTTCTGCAGACCTGCTAAAAGTCTATTTAAGGCACTTCTAAGTAGTACAGGGTGATTCAGAAAGATGGACACAATTTCAATTGGCTATATTTCCTGAATTATATGTTGCATTTGAATTCTGTAAATTACGCTTGATTACACATACATGGAAGTTTATAGATGTTCAATGTGCCCCCCCCCCTCCTCCGGCTGCACGGATAACATCTAGACGGTAGCTGAATTCATCCTACACTCGATGACAAATATCTTGCGTCACTGAGTTCACCGCAGCTGTGATACAGTTTCTTAGGTCATTCAAATTTGTGGGAAGAGGTGGTACACGCCACACAGTTGTTTGCGATAGTCCAAGTTCTCTACTAGCACTACGGGTTGACTTCATTGGGCTGCGCTCAGAGTTCACTCGAATGCACTCCACGTTCTCCTCCGATACACGCGATCGGCCCGGGACGCAGTGATGGAGGGCACTAGCGGTAGTACTAGAAACTTTGTAACATCCTCTTTCAAATGTACCTCACAGAATTCAAATGCAACATACAGTTCAGGAAATATAGTCAATTGAAATTGTGTCCATCTTTCTGAATCACTCTGTATATACTCTGCAAGAAATATATCTCTTAATCCATGCTAAGCATTCTTATGTTATACTTAAAATTTTGTAGTGATTCTACATATTCATGGAGTATAGAAAAATCTAAGAGATCTACAGAAAATATGCTACAGAAATGCAAAAATATCTTTATTCCCGATGATGACAGGTTGCGTCTGTCTGTCTCATTCCGATAAATGTTTCTGCATTCAGGTAGCAAATGTAGACTTAATGCTTTTAGGCTTTCATTATGTTAATTCTATTCTTGAGTTCCGACACTGACTAGCTGTAGATGTTGTTGCCAATTTTCGGAAGTATTGCATTTCATTTCTTTTTACAGCCTGAATGAAACCCGTTCAGGCTAAAGACAATAGTGCGATAGAGCTGCCTCACTCCACAGAAATTTGAAAGTAATTGATTTCTTTTTATATGCGAAGTGTTTTGTACGAGATTAATAAAATATTGTTTTGCCTCTTCAGTTTTTTTTTACCATTATCAAAATAAAGTAAGATATTAGTATAGCTGATATGAAATACGAAAAAAGAAAATTAGATGCTGATAAAATATTTTATCTGTGTAATTATTAGAAAAGGGCCACATGAGCTAGATGATAACATTAAAGTAAATGATTACGGAAGAAGTGGTGTTAAATATGCATGCTGGATTCTGTTAGTAGAGTCTGGCCCAATAAGGCGGTAACATTTCGCTAGAAAATATGTCAGAATTTCTGCTATTCATACGTTCTTCATAGCATTTTGTTTGAGACAAGTTTAATGATCATTATATCAAGTCACATGACGATCTCAATGTACTATTCATCAAAGAAGTCATCCAAGAAAAAAGCATAAAACATCATGATAAACTAGGACACCATAGCAATACATTACTGCAGCCCCTACTGGAACAACAACAACGAAGTTTAAATAAATTATGGCCAGTAGATCTGCTTGATGGTTGAAGAGGATCTCTCATTGGAGGAGCCCTCATCACGATACAATAAGCACACGAGGACGGTGTTTAAATTATCAAATTAGCTTAAGAATGTATTTAATTCTGATTGCTAATAAATAAAAAAAAATATATCAAGTATTTGCAATAGAACTAATCTAGTATTATCAAATATGCACTTTTTCATCGAGAAAGCGAAGTAGTGAAGTCATGCATTTATATGAGTTTACATAATTTTCCCATTTTTAAAGCAACTCGAAGTTTATCGTCCGCAACCAATCTCGGATGCTGATAAAGAGTTCTAGACATTCGTTTTAACTTATCACATCCGTGACTTGAAATATGATGAAAATAGCGCATTACTCTGCTACTGGTACTCCAGAGCTCTAGCACTGGGCTAAAGTAAGGGTGAAGGTGTTCCTGTGATTTGTCAAGCACCAGACCACGGAAACTTACGAGAAGAGTAATGGTACAACTGAGTTATCCTTGGCACTCGATGGAGGTGAGTGGTCAGTTCCACGCTTCGGCTGCTTTACATCCGGGGAAAGAGTATTGGTGCCCGTCAGGTGAATTGTAGCGCTGATCTGGACACAGTGCTGGAGACAGGGAATAATTTATGTCCTTTCCGGGAATCAAATCCCAGTAGTCCAGTGTCAAGAAAACCTCCGTGTAACTCCCTGGCAATTGAGATAGGGAAAAGCGAAACATGTGCAAGCGCCTATTGCCTTGACGTCTGCTTCAATCTCTGAGCACCGTTCACACTGATCGATCTCTGCACCAATCATATTGCACCTATCATATTTGTCTGGGTAAATCACAGAGCCCCTAACAACACAGGTGACTTACGTGTGTTCCGTTCAGATGTTGTGGTGCTAGGAAATAATTACAAATATTTTACAAGTTACTGCTTATTTTTTGTTGGGAAGTTTTGATTTTGGTTTTATATCATATTCTTAAGCGTGTTATTTTATGCACAAATGTCACACGTACTACACGGCATGAAATGGGAAACGTATTGAATTCTGTAAAGTATGCTTAAATATATACTACTACTACTACTACTACTACTACTACTACTACTACTACTAACTATAAAATTTATTTCTCCAATTCTGAGTATAATTTTTACTAGATCAGATCGTCCATAAATTATGTTACTCATATACAAGCCCCAAGTTTCGCACCTTCTCCGGCTTCATATAACACAATTATTTCGTACACTACTTATTTGTATGTTTGTAGTTCATCTGCATACATTTCATATTCATAGCTTCAGTAGTTCAGTACATTTGTATAGGTACAAAAGCTAACTCTAGATTCTGAACGAGTGGGTTCACCAAGTGATGTAATTTTCATACAAAGTTTTTCACGAAAATCCACTAGCTGTTTCGAAGTTACTGGAAAGATAACTCAGATAAGACGATGCAGTAAGCTTATAGTTCTTTATAAATAAGAAAATTAAGCCGAGAACCACAATTATTTGTGGCATCATGTTGTATAAATCCCTATAGATAATATTTATTATATTTCTATTAACACCATATTATTTCCAGCAGGTAGAGTTTGCTGTATGGTACTCATATTCCGAAACATGTCCTAGACAGCAAAAGCGAGCTGTTTGAAATAGTGTTACCTTGACAGGAGTATAATAAGTATTATCTGTACCACAAATAGTGCCTTCGATTGCTGATTTCATCTCCCATTAGGAGAAGTGGTTCGGTACACAGAAATGGAAACTTGCGGGTCACATACCTGTCGGTTTCTAATCATGTGTGCAAGAGCTGTTGCGCTGTGCAACAGAAGTTTGTTTCGAATGGGAGGCAGCTTCTTGCTCCGTCTTATGTATCGCAGTGAGATGAAAGGCTTCATTACACATTTCAGTAGCCACATCGGAAACCACAGAAGCCACAGCACCACCCTCCAGGCCATTCTTTAAACAAAAATTGTAAATATCACTGTATTGAACAATTCTGTTATCACCAGAAATCACGAATAAATCAGAATTTAACTGATGACACAGCTCATATTATTTCTGCTTAGGTCTACGTGCTCATAAGCACTTATGCTTGTTCTATACCCAGCGCCACACAATTCCAGGACTTCAGTTAAGAAAAGTTCAAGGTTGGGTTAATTCTCGGGAATACTTGTTGTGAACCAGCTTTGTGTTAGAACTTGGTAATTTTTGCTGCTTCTTGATTATACTTATGCGAATTAATAATTGATTAAGATTACGGTATATCTATCTAACTTATGGAGCTGAGTCCCTTTTGAGAAGTCTCAAGGCCCTCAGCTACTCAAGAATTTCCTAGCAATTTATGGAGCCCGAAATTTTATTACATTTGCAAGAGAACTCCACTGGTTCATATCCTGAGCCTTATCAGTCCAATCCATACCATCCCATCACCTATTTCTAAGTATTCCTAGTAGTCTCTTTCCTTCTGGCTTTGCCACCAAAACCCTATATGAATTCCTCTTCTTAATATGCGTGCTACATGTCATACCCGTCTCATCCTCCTTGACTTGATAATTCTAGCTCTACTTGGCGAAGGGTTGCCTCTATCCTCTTAACACTTCATTTTTTTGGAAAGATTTTGGTACAAAATCTCATAATTCGGGTGGTTATGATTTTAATGATATTTAATATTTTTTATATATGTTGAATTTCTTTTTCGATAATCTCATTTCTTCGTGCTTACTGTTCAGTTATACGTGCCTTGAGATTGATGGCACTCATTTGATTGGACTTTACGAACTTTCCGATGCTTTTGTTATATACATTAAATCAGTTTGTGACACTCCCTGTACATGGGTCTTCCTCTCCCGTGTGTTCTCCTTTGAATCTTTTGCTTTCGGATATTTGTAAATCCCTTAAACGTCTAAGACTATCTGCTAAGTCTGTCACTTTTGGTGACATCGCTGGATTTTCTGTACAATGTTGCCCTGAGATCTCTGCACCTATTCTCGAACTCGTTTAATCAAAGATTGTCCCATAAGTGTTCTCCTACCCTGCAGAAGCAAGCGCTAATTGTTCCTGTTTCTGAAAGAGGCAATAGTGCGTCTGTTAGCAATTATTGGTCTATCTCTCTTCTTAATACTTTTTGAAATTATTTAAATTTTTAAGTTTTGAAGTCTTTACGGAGGTGAATGCCGTCTTCTGGGATGTGGCGCCGTGTAGATCTTGTGTCAACCTACGTTTCGGAGGAAAGTATTGCCTCCAAATTCAGGGTAGAAAATCCGAGAGCAAGGAACCAGCGGGAGCAGATGGCTGCAGTTCGTCTTGGCATGAAGCCTCTTGAGGCTCATGACCAGAGTTTTTTTTGCAACTAAACCTTTGTGGTCATAGTCATTTTGTAATATCTTCCCTGACTAGAGCAACGATAAGGGGTATACATACACAGACGCACAGGCTGATGGGAGGAATTTGTAGAGTACTCCGTTGAGATGGGCTCACTTGCTACGCCCAATTTCGTAAAAGTTGACTCTGATTTTCAAAATATGTTGGAGGGATACAGACACAGCAAGATAATCTCATAAGCCTAATTTTACTTTTTCAGAATGAGGAAAGTAGGCCAGTAAACACAACACTACCCTTTAGGCAAAGATAAATCTTCTACTGACATCCGAACATTGCAACGAAAAACATACTTGTAGAACGTGTTTTCAATTATTCTTGTAGTTAGAATACCGAAAGCTAGAAATGATTATATGGTGCTGTTTCTGTTATGGAAACTCATGTTAACACAAACTCTTGTGAGAACTAGCACGGTGTAATATACAACGGGCTTAATGAGATACCTCTCCCCAGGTACTGCCCATGTTAGTTTGAACAACTTCTACTAAACATTACAACGCTAAATATTCCCTACAATTTGTGTATGAGAGGGTAGGTTCCTACATGGCGAAATTTGAGAACAAGAAGTCTATACTAAGTACCACACTAGAAATTTCCAACAATGTCAAACCGATATTTATAAATTAATTTCCCTGAGCCTCTATGTTTGTTCATGTTACGTATCCAGGTAATGCGACAAGAAATTATGGGTTCCGGATGTACGAGTACATTGGACAACTAGTTTACTCTCACAATTACGATCACTCCCAAATAAAACCCTTTCAGATGAAGCGACCTGATTGGTCCGTTGTCTCTCACGTTTCGTCTTCAACGGTCTTCTTGCATCTCTCTTCCCGGTGGAGTGTCTCTGCCCTTGGTTCTTCACTTACCTCTCGTAGGATCTGAACTCCTCTGCTCTATTATCTTCTACCCTCTTAAGGAGCTTTTCCCGTACCGCTGAGAGAACACATTGTCGAAGGTTTCTGTTTTGCATGTTAGCTAGAATATTCGTTAGTTGGTCTATTCGTTGTCGTGGGAACTCAACAATTTTGTCTCTGTTATCTAGGAAGTTGTTTTGGTAGTTGTCTTTCCTTGTATTCATTGCCGCTGAAGTATGGGTTCCCATTGCAGCCGTTGCGCACGGAAGGACGTCATACACGGTGTGTCCGGGATCCGTTAGGACTCTTTTCTTTTCCCTGCCATGCCATCTGTTGGTGAGTTGTGGCGTTAAGATTCTTGAAGTTTCAGATGTGGCTATCTATAATTTCAAAGCGCAAGCATTGCTGAATCATATGTTCTGACCTTGAATGTAACAGTACTGTTCTGACGCTCGTCGGAAAATGGCGGTTGAACAGAGAGCCAACATTAAATTTTGTTTGAAGTTAGGCAAAACAGCGGGAGAAGCGTACGAAATAATGAAAAGTGTGTATGGTAGTGATTGTTTGAGTCGCTCGAATATTTTTCGGTGGTATGCTGTATTTCGTGACGGCAGGGATGACATTGAAGACGCCCCACGTGCATGAAAGCCGAGAACAAGTCGCACTGAAGAAAATATGAAAAAAGTGACCGAAATCCTTGCATCAGACAGATGTGTTTCTGCAAGACTCATCGAGGAGCTTTTGGGAATACCAAAAAGTACTGTGCATCAAATTTTGATCGATGATTTAGGCAAACGGAAGGTCTGTGCGCGGTTTGTACCGCACGAGCTGTCAGGCGATGAAAAACATGCCAGAGTAGAACACTGCAAACACATGTTACGGTCGGCCCAAAGTGATACAAAATTTAAAAATCGATTGTTACTGGTGACGAGACATGGTGCTTTCAATATGAGCCTCTCACAAAGCGACAGAGTGCAGCGTGGTTGAGCCCAAAGAAGCCGAAACCAAAGAAAGTGCGCATGCAAAAGAGTCGAGTAAAGACACTGCTAACCGTTTCCTTCGATTCCAAAGGAATCATTCAAAGGAATTTCTGCCAGAAGGTCAAACAGTGAATTCTGATTATTATCTCTGAGTTCTCGGTCGTTTGTGGGCGAGAACTCTTTGAATTCGACCTGAATATCGAGAGCAAGGTTCCTGGTCGCTCTTCCACGACAATATTTTGGCCAGAAAAGGGATCACAGTCCTTGATCATCCTCCGTATTCGCCAGATTTGACTCCAGCAGATTTCTAGTTGTCCTAAAAGTTAAGTTGGCGATGGAAGGAGACCGTCACGACACCATCCAGGACATCCAAAGGGAATCTACAGCAATTATAATGCGATTCAACAAAATGAGTACAGTGGCTATTTTCGAAAACTTTTCAATCTATTCCAGCTATGTATTGATTCAGAAGGAGACTATTTTAAGTAAAAAGGGTAAAATTTTGAAAATAATTCACGTCTTTTATTTTTAATGAACACAGTCCTAACAGAACCTGGACACACTGTGTATAGTCCGGCTTTATGCGGCAGGCCACAATAATTTGTATCACGTATGATGACACTTAAGTAAAATAAGCAGGTTAATTAAAAGCTCGATATTGTTGGCTCAAAACTAGGCCGTATCATAGTTCAGGCGGTTATTTGTGGGGTTCCCACCACTCTGGCCCGTGTTCGGGCCCAGTTCAGGTCATGTGGGTGTTTGTGGTGGACAAAGGGGCGCTGGGGAAGGCTTTTTCAGACTACTTCGGATTCCCCTTTCAATTCTCATTCCACAGACTGCTCCAGACTCATCATCTATCATCCGGGGCTGTACAATAGCCCAGTTAGTGGCCGATGTACCAACTGGACTCAGCCTCACCCCACCCGAAGAAGAAAAAAAAAACTAGTTCGAAACTAAATTCATTTCCTCCTGGAAGCAATTTTCTGCCAGTTTTCTTATCAAATTTCACTCTATTTATATTAGGAAAATAAACACAAATATATTCGAAATGCATCACTTCTAAATTTGTTTCATATATGATGATAACAGCATCATTAAGTTAATTGTCAGTGTGGGCAAGTGGGTGAACTTAACCTTTCATGAGACAGTTCTAATATTCGCCGTATGCTTCAATATTAAATACAGACATTTCACCAACAGAAGTTATTTTAAGGGATAAAGAATCTAAGAAGGAACAGTGAATGTTTCCGTACACCTCATTAGCTGGCTTATCTTCATAACGCTGAAGGTAATTTTAAATTCTCACATTCAGTATGCTGTTGGCAATTCACGTTTTGGATAGTTGCGATATACGGTAACAAGGAGGGCCAATTACATTTTAGTTATTGAGTTCAGCCACAATTTCTTTGTTACTTTGAACATGAATAGTAGGCTTATATTTTTGCTTGTAATAGTAGCTATTTTCCCCGCCATTTAGTAAATCTTCGATTCCAGATTTACCACTAAATTATGATGCTGGCTGATACTGATTTTATGCAAATATCAGACTACCATTTCTGTTTAAAACTGAAGAAGCATCTTTGTTTCCTGTATGTTACGTTCTTTCAAGAAATCTAGTGTTTCCAGTTTCTAAATAGTTACGCCGTCAAATATAATTGCTTAAAATGTGTACTCAAACACTCGAGCTTCATCCTGTATTTACTATATCGTAAGGCTAGCTGTATCCACAATTGCTTGCAAACGAGATTGCCCAAATTGCATCTTTTATTCAATTTAAAGTAACGTAAACACATGATTAAATTCACCATTAGACTACTTATTTAATTTTATCATTTTAAAGACATAATTACATTCTTCATTAATATATTTATTTAATTTTAAATATTATAAATACACATTTAAAGACATAATTTTCAGTTCATTTATTTCTAAATATTTTAAATGCACCCCAAGACACATCAGTAGAAAAGTTATTAAAGGAATTATTGACTTTGTTTATTTAAGTTTAAGTATTTTACATATATAATTTTGAAATATAGATTAGACAAAGTCTTAAGTCGTAAACGATATGAATTTAACCCTGATGATACGTACGAAACGGCAAGATTTATTTGAATAAAATTTCAAAAAGCTCTATTTGACGGTCTAATTAATTATAAACTGAAAACAAACAATGGATACAAGAAACAGTGTCGAGGGTTTACCTTATATTATGTGTCAGTATCCACACGATATTCACTCCGAAAGGCAGTACTGCAGGTGAACTTAGCTATGTACTTTGGTCGCACGAACGGAGCTCCTACAGTTTCACAGCACCATGGCACCTGTCGGCTGGGACTAAGCTCCCAGTGGAGTGAGTAAGTGGAAGAAGGTCACCCACCACATGGCTGACAATTCACGTAATGGCAGTAAGTTTCCAGTTCTATAAACCGGTATCTATTATACAGTAAACACCAGTTCTTTTGTGTCTGAAAGTAACTGAAGTTGATTCTAAGAGCAGGTGAAGCTCACAGACTCCCCAACAAGCGGACGATTTTTTCAGACCAAACCATTCCACATGACTTACGGCATGCGCAAAGAAATACTTTTATGAGACATCCAGAACGAGACCGTCTTAGAGAAGAGTTTCAGTAAATCAGCGAGCGAGGACCTCGTGTCTAACAGTACCAAAATAAAGGCACATTTTGATAGTTTAACTACTTTTCAAAGCTTCTCAGCCAAATTTATTACACACACCACCTCAAATATCGTCCATTCGATTAGCCGTGAATGGTAAACTAGCTGAATGTTGGAAGTTGAAGGCAAAACAGGCGTGAGTGTGACGTAAGTAAGAATTACAGAATTAATTGCGTGTCATTTCTCCTTTCCGCCTTAGAGCTCGGGCTGGGTCTGGCTTCGGCCACCGCTAGGCACAGGCATTTGTTTCATATCCCCTCGCATCTTACGCAGTCGCGTACTGGAATAGTGCCTTACTATGACTTCCTCCTTTCACCACTGACTCTGTCCATCTCGTTCTGCAATTGAAACTGAGGCGTTATAAAATCTAAGTATTCATCCAGTATGATCGAAGCTGCGTGCGCACAGGTTTATTCAAATGTTATCTCAGTCAGGTCTCGATTCGCCCTGTAACATCTTCTAAAGTAAAGGTAAAATTATCCCTGGGCCTGCCTATGTATGTACCGCGCCATGAAGATGTTTGTGACAGTAGAGTTATGGCTCCATAATTCTCATCCTCGGCGTTAGATGGAGGTGAGGTTCACGCTCCTGACGCTTCACTTCGATACCCATTTTATAGGAGGCTGGAAAAACTCTCATCCCAGCCGAGACTCGAAATCCGATTCTTAGGCTCTTCACGGCTGAATGACATGCAAGGTCGTTATGAACGCTAAATGCAAGCGTGGGCGAAGCTTGCGTCTTTTTTTTTTTTTCTTAAATTNGGGGGGGGGGAGTCCTACTGGGTCCACTCGGCAAGGGGGCCACTGATTGGTCTATTGTAGCCTGCCCCGGGTGATTATGATGATGGAGAATTTCGTGGAATGAAGATTGGTAAGGGAAACCGAAGTACTCGGAGAAAACCCGCTCCAGAGCCACTTTGTCCACAAATCCCACTTGACCAGACCGGGGATCGAACCCGGGCCGCCGCGGTTTGAAGCCAGGGACTAACAGCTTGAGCTATGGCGCCGCCAAGGGTGCGTCTTAGTCCCGACTGTCTTCTTGACGGAGTTATTGAAACCATCGTCAGGATAAAAGAAATTCAAACCGGATAAATCCCTGTTACAAGCAAGATGCCTTGCCGTTGTACTACTCAGTTCTGGAACAGACAGTGAGCTCTTTTATTTTTTTTAGTTTCTTGGGGTGGGGTGGGACTGAGTCCACTTGGTAGGTCGGCCACTAAATTGGCCCATTGTATCAACACCGGATGATGGATGATGAATGATGATGATGATGATGATGATGATGATGATGATGAATATGGAGCAGTCGATGGAATGAGAATTAGCAGGGGAAACCGAAGTCCTCGGACAAAATCTCCAGTACCACTTAATCACCACAAATCCCACACGACCTGACCTGGCCTCCAACACGGGCCACCGCTGTGGGAAGCCGGCAAATAACCGCCTGAGCTGTGGCACGGCTTTCTTTGGTTGTCACGAGTACTTCACAGGATGACATTTCTAAAAATCTTAGGTCTATACGACAAAAACAATGTTAGACTGAATGTAAATTGGACGTGGAAGTTGGAGCCTACGTTAGAACAATAACATGAACTGCGCAAAACACCCTAATGATGCCCAATGTTTCGCAATTCGAATCGACCACCGCCCACATAACTGCTTCGACTATGATGAAACTCAGGTGGACCTACAGAAGGTGTTGTGACACCATTTCGATTTACATTTAGTTTCATCCGCTTTAAGCACTAATTTATTTAGGGGCCTTAATGAATTCACACTTTTGTCTTCTGAGATCTTACAGATTTTGTTGGAATCTGATAGCAACATGCCCACTCTACAAGTGTTACCATGCAAGTTTCTCTTTTTTGTATTTTCTGTGTGACTCATAGTCTAGCAGGTCTACATAAGGGAATAAATTAGGTATAAAAAAGAAAGTAAATCTATCCCTGTAACAGGCCATGAAGGCCCATAGCATTGTGAGACATTATCTAGACAATCGGCTCACAGCCGGCCGCCCTTTTCCACACAGGAAGATTCCTGGTACTCATTTCTGTTAGAGGTTGAGTCGACCCCAGGGCCATAGTGCGGCTGAAAGGATTAGGTAAATTGAAAAAAAAAAAATCCACTTCATCGGGACTCGAACTAGCGGCATTCGCCTTGTAGCATAGTGGCTCAGCCAAATACGCTACCGCGTGTTCCATAGGGAACAAATTAGGTATAAATTAATTGTGGGTCCGTAAGTATTTATCTGACAAAAAAATGTCTTTGATAAACATTGTATACAGGTATACCCATTTATACATTGCTTACTTTAAGTGTAAGTATATTTCATTTGCTTACTCTACATTAGTTTATAATTAGGTCATTTGATACGAATCTAACTCATTAATGAGCAAATAATGTTTAACTTGCTGAGTCTTCTCACCCAGACTAAGACTGCTGGAAGACGGAAAGGAGGAGTGACAAGAACTGAAAGTCAGCAGCTGGAGGCAAAATACAGAATAATGTGCGTCTGTCATAGAGGAGGCCAAGGTTCTAAGAGGATTTCAGAGTCAAGACGCAAGAAAATAAATATTGCATCTTCCGAAAAGCTTACAGGAAAAGACAATCTGGGAGACCTAGACGTAGATTGGAGGATCATATGGAAATGTGAAATGGATTGTGAAATTGTTATTTGGATGTATCTAGTTAAGGACAGAGACAGGGGCACGCGGTAACGGAATTTGTTGAGGTACTATGCTACAAGCCGGAAGGTCGCGGGTTCGATTTCCGATGACACCATTGATTTTTTTTTCAATTTACCTAGTCCTTTCAGCCGCACTGTGGCCCTGGGGTCGACTCAGCCTCTAAAAGAAATGAGTACCAGGAACCTTCCTGGGGGAGGGGGTAAAAGGAGACGCTTAAAGCTGACAACCTCACCGCCAACTGTGAGCCGATTGTCTAGAAAAAATGTGGGAGCCTCGACGTCTCACAACCCTGTGGGCCTTCTTAGAAGAAACTAGAAACATCTTACTGATTCAAAAATTTCATTGTTTCACCTTCCAAATTGCTGGATTTATGGGTCTCTGCTATGGTCTTAGCATGGGAACGTTTAACCTATTCCGCCACTAATTCTATTCTTCCATTCAGGACGGGAAAGGACGATACATATCAAGGTATCCAGTTCCTAGCCTGGACAGAACTAATGATTCATGTCAGCCCCTCAGATCTGTTCAATTAGCTCCATGGAACAATCGTTTCTTGAAAGGTAATAGTTTCGCAGATAGTCAAGAAATTTCCCGCCTTTTAAGGAACCCGGAAATTCATTACTTTGTCCAAAAGAGTCTCTCAATTCCGAGACCTTTTGTAACATTTCGTAATGTGCTGCTCTTTTTGCGGTGAGCAGTGGTTAGCTCGCCAGCCCAACCCACAAGCTGGAGGACCAGCTTTGTTGCCTGTCTGTGGCTGCTTCCTCAGTTTATTCGCAGTTACTCTCCATTCTTTATCCACAAGTTTTCTTATAAAATGAGCGTGAACATTTCCTCATTTCATTTTCTTGAAACCGTGGATCCGGTTACACCATGGGTACCTACCTCCAAATCTTCTTCACCATCTCCCTCACCCTCACCCTCACCATCACCCGTCACCCGTCAGTATCGTCATCCACGTGGTTTAGGCCTCTTAGACTCCTTTCGTCAACCGGGAAAACAAATAATGTAAGGTAAAGCTCTCCATGTACTGTCTTCGCTCGCTTGGAAACCGGGATCGTGGGTTCGAATCCCACTCAGGGCATGGATATTTAGTTTGTGTGTGTGTGCGTTTTTCTGTGTTTGTTTAGAGGTAGAGGCCTTGCGACGAGCTGATCACCCGCCCAAGGAGTCCTACCGTATGTGTAACATCTAGAAAAACCGAAGTGAACGGAGAAGTTCATGGAGGTAGGCCTAGGCCCACTGGGGCTGTAGTGCCAAGGAAAATAAAAGCTCTTCCTGTAACAGGCCGTGAAGGCCCATAGGGTTGTGAGAAGTCAAGGCTCCCACATTTTCTAGACAATCGGCTCACAGATGGTCAGTAAGTTTGTCAGCCTTGACGGCCGGCTGCCCTTTACCCCCAGGAAGATTCCTGGTACTCATTTCTGTTAGAGGTTGAGTCGACCTCAGGACCATAATGCGGCTGGAAGGACTAGGTAAATTGCAAAAGTTCAGTGACCCCATCGGGAATCAAATTCGCGACCTTCCAGCTTGTAGCATAGTGCCTCAATTAACTACGCTACCGCGTGTCCCCTGACTAGTAAGTTAGACATTTTCTGGCTTTTAACTGTTTGACTCTGTTCTTCTGCTCTCTCCTCTCTGATCAACTGAATAACATCTACTGAGTTGTAACATTGTGTACTGCGTTGAAAGTCAACCTACTTTTCGGAGGAAAATGTCTCCTCCATCTTCAGGGTCTATGAATAAGCCAAGCATGAAACCCCCATGAAGCAGATAATTTTTAATTGCTCACTGTATTTATTTGTGATTTACTTAACGATGTTTTCTTTAACTCGGTTTATGTAACGTGGAATCTTAGGGTGATTAATGAGTGGTCATTCGGATTACGGTATTCTGGGATGGAACGCCATTTTGTATGGCAGATAGCTACTAACCTTTCTAAGAAACCGTCTGAATTCATTCTGGCGGCAGGTACGTTGGTACCTATCTACCAAACTGTACGGTCTGACATTGCAGAATACCCTAACCGGAATATTCCTACTTATCTCGATCTCACATAATCAGTAGGCCTAACGAATTTGAAAGTGTGTGAATGGAAGGGGTTTTGGCCAAATTTGCGGTACTCTGTGGGCACTTTCCTGGAGGGTCTGAGGGAAGTCACGAA